TGGAAGATGCCAAAGCTCTTTTTTTGCTTCTGCTCAGTTCTCATGGAGGAACACCAGGGCTTGTACTTACAAATTTTTTTCTTTTCCAGAATTTTCTTAAGCCTGTCTACTCACCCAACAGTCTACTTCTCTGGATTACAGGATATTAGTTAGAATTGTTGGTGTTTTGTAGATCACCTTTTCTCAGTGCTACTTTTTGGAATAGGGTTATGAGGTCTAGCACTCACTAAGGTGCAATAATTTTCGGACTTTCTTTAGCTATAATATTAAAGGGACTTCGTAAGTGTGCAGCAGCTTCTGTTTTGGCTTTTGTTCATTTTATTGGGGAGTGAAGTTGGGGGATTCTGTGATGGCTTCACTTTAACCATCCTATTCCAGAGATCCTCACCCTTTCCTTGTCCATACTTGTCCCGAGACCCTCTCCTCCGAGCAAGACTTTGGCAGTCCCAGCCCCCAGCACTTTCAAGTCCCTGAGATGAGGCAAAGGCCCACAGAACCAGGCCTCAGCACATAGCACGAGTTCAGTCCATAGTAAAAAGGCAATGAGCAGGGAGCATTTCATGAAAGCAGGCCTCAAATGCTTCCTGGGCATAAGCACAGCGTGAACCAAGGCATAGAAGTAGAAGAGCACAGGAATAACTACTGCAGGGCAGGGCCAAGTCCAGCTGGAATAGTGCCAACTAGGAAGCAGTGGAGAAGCTGGAGAGGTGGCCAGGCAGGCACCATGCATACAGCTAGCATGGGAACTGTCCTGTATGTGACCAAACATTTAGCTCTTGTGTCTGGAATCTTAGAGAAAGCTCTGAAGCAGGGGCAAGTGCAAGTAGGGAAGCCTGGTTCCTTGTCTCTCTCCCACCTTCAACCCCTCCCAGGAAACCTTCTCTGACTACTCCATTCTCACTCTTTCGCTGTCCTGGTAAGCCCCAAGGTGCTCTTTGGTGTCTTCCCTACAGCCACAGGGAAGGCCTTGGCCGGCTACACCAGGCACTCTTCACCACAAGCCACCCATTAGTGTACCACAGCCATGCCTCTGGTCACCTAGCCACACAAAAACATTAACATAGTGCACAGTTGCACACCACTTTTTGCACATGATGACACAGGGCACATGCTCTCCTTTAAGCACAGCCCCACACTGGCTTCCACTTTGGGGCCATTGCCTCTGAATCTCCTGAGAACCTGCCCTGCCCCCTGGTGGCTACTCCCCAAGTCACTGCCCTTCTGGAAGAAATCTACCCACCACCTTCTTGGCCTGGTGCTGCACAAAAAAACTTCTGGCTTAATATAACCTCTTTCCTCAAAGCAACCGGCTAGACTAGACCCCTCAGATAACTCCTAGACCAGCCTGCCTATTCAGATGTGTGTGGGCAGCAAGGGCTTCACAAGGTGACAGCTGTCGCTCTACACTTGAGACAGAGGTTTCTCAAGACTTGAGATTTTTTTTTTTTTTCCAGTACTGGGCATCAAACTCAGGACCTTGCACTTGCAAGGCAGGGGCGGTGCCACTGAGCTAAATCCCCAGTCCCAAGACTTGAGATATTCAGTGTTAAAACTGAGAAAATTCCAGGAAAATTAGGACCACTTGGAGATCTTATTTCTTAGATACATATACTTTCAGATGAGTCTCTCTTCATACTGGACCCATAAGACCTACCCCCCTGACACACCAGCCCTTTCAAATAAAATCTCTTCAGAAGCATGTCCCAGACCAGCTCCCTAGACTGATCCTGCCACAAGGTCCTCACAGACCCACTGACCTTCAGATTAGCCTTTCCTGTCAGGGTGGCATCCTCAGATAAAGTCCCTCCCATCTCTCTTGATCTTTCTCTTTCCTCTGAGGAGAGGCAAGAGTGTGGAGGGGAATACATACCAATTCTTCCTGCCTCCAGGGCTCTATCCCTACGATCCCAGATAGGTGGCATCCTCTGAGAGTCCAATGACTCTGGGCTGTGGCATAGTGGATATGTGAACCTCAGCAAGTACAGAGAACAGATGCAGGATGAATACCTGGGATTCAGAGCCAAGCATTCTGTTTTCTCCACATGAGAATGAACTTTCTCAAAGGTCCAAACGTATAGAGGTAGTGGGCCCCCTTGCTCTGGGGAGTTCTCAGGGGCAGAGGCCATGCAGGAAGAAGTCCTGCTGAGTGGCTCCCTCCATCCCTCCTCACTGATGGGATCCTGGGATTTCTGCACTGATAACCAACAGCCTGGGAGCAGGAATGAAGGGCAGGCAGGTGGCCGAGAGGGGGCAGCAGAATCTAGGACAGCCCATGGCTCAGGCCAGAGAGGAGCTGCAGACACAGACTAGGGTCTGGACTGGGGTGGGAACACACAGAAGGAGGCAAAGAAGGAAGGAATGATGGAACCAGGGAAGAGGGGTCAAAACAGAGATGGAGTTAGAAATGGAGATACTTGTAGAGAGACAGATACAGAGACAAACATGGAGCTACAGAGAGATAAAGACACAGAGAAAGCAATAGGAAGGCAGAAAACGTGACAGAGAACTGGAAGAGAGATATACAAAGACAAGGCTGGAGATAGGGAGAGACAGAGAAAGAGAGCAGGAAGTAGAGGGAAGAGATAAAAAATGGAGATATACAGAGAGACAGCAATGAGACAGAGACCCGAAAAGTACAAAGAACCAGGACAAAGATATTCAGAGAGAGGGATGCCACAGAAAGAAACCAATGTAGAGATGAGAATGAATTCAGTGAGAAGAGAGGGACAGAGTTGCCTAGAGTGGTAAGAATGTGACACAGCCACACTGGAAGGACAGATGGGGTGGTTAGGGAGCTGACAGAACAAGACATGGGGAGGGTTCCCCATTCCCAGTGCACCCTGGGGGAAGCAAACAGAACTAGTGGTCTATAAAGCTGGACACAGGGCCACTGTGCACTTTGGTTCTGCAATCCAAACTCCCCCTCCCCAGGTCCCTCAAGTAGTGTTTTAATTCTCTGGGTTGTTTTAGTTGCAAGAACTAGTGTCTGCACTTGTCCCCAGCTCCCCAGAACCACCATGGGGGAAGGACAGTACTCAAGGAAGGCAGCAGAAAACAGCAGGCAAGACTCTCCAAGGTGAACGGCCTCTGTGAGGCAGAGGAGCCAGAACTTGCAAAGGTGGATAAGCACCCCTGCTGCCCTGCCAGCTACCTTGGGCTTAGGACAGGGCCAGGTCCCTCGAGTTTGGGGGCAAGGAGATACCCTAGTCCTCCCCTCCGTAGGCCTCCAGGGCTCCAGCAGGCCCCCTCCCCTCCTTCTGCCCCCTCCTCCCCAGTCCCCATGTAATTGCTTTCCCATGTTGCTAATGGAGGCCAGATTGCTGATGCCCAAGACCTGGGTGGGCGGAGGGTGGGTCAAGGCTGACCAAGGCTCTCGTGGCAGAAAGACAGCACAGGCCAAAGACCCTCTAACTTCAGCCCACCCACCCCAAAGATAGAGAAGTGTGGAGGTTCTGATACACCCCAGGAATATACAACGTCTTGGCAAGAGAGCTGGCAACCCTTTGTTCTCTCAACCCTGCTGGACCTGGAGTGTGGGCTTCTGTCCTTAGCCTCATCTCACAGGGATCAAACAGACAGGCAGAACTGGGGGTTCAGGGAGCACAGGAAGATCAATAGCCACATTTCAAGGTATCTGTCAGGGAGCCTCTTCCTGTGGACAGAGCCACACAGTCCCACGGCTTGGGCTATTCAGCTTGAAAAGGCTCAGGCCTCCCTGACACCAGCCTTTGCTTCCCACAAGTCTCCCACCTGGAACACCCTCTGTCCTTTGCCTGGAGGAGAGCTAGCCACCTTCCTTCTGCAGCTTCTCACCTCAGCCCAATTCAGGGACCGTGCCTTGTCCAGGCCTGACTCATTAGTGCTCTAGGCGAAGACTCCTCCCTGGGCATGGTCCCAGGTGGGCCTGGAAAGACCAGTGAGGAGTATCCACCTTCTGGTCTGAGAAGGTTTTGAGAGGAGGTGGAAAGGTTGTGATGGCATCAGGAGGCTTGGGTGAGGGGTAGTGCCGAGCACCTGCTCTGAGGTGTGTGCACTGGGCTGGACATGTCTGTTTATAGGTCCAAGTATATGTGGCTTCACTTCTCACCCCTGGCACCTAGAGCAAGGCCACACCTGGTGTGGAGCTGGAGCTCTGGCTACCTACCCTCTTGCTCCAACTCCCAGGTCAGAGATTTGCCAACTAGGACCAGCCCTGGAGCAGCCAAGAGAAGTCAGAGGGACCTTGATTCAAATTTGGAGGCCAGAGCTGGACCAGACTGGCCACTTTGTAAACCAAAGCCCTCTCCTGCCCCTCTGCAGCTCCACAGGGTCCTAACTGTACTATAATCTAAACTCGGGGGTCAATCCCGTACTCTGTAATTCCAGGCCTGAAGCACAGGTCCAATCCCTAGTCATTTTCAAAGCAGCCTCTTCCTTCAGGCAGCCTACCCTGCCTGACCAGGCCTAGGACGCTGTGCTCAAGAGCCCTTTGTAGCCTGCCTGAGCCCTAGGCCTGCTGCCCCCTCCCAGTGTGTCTCCTAGGTGGCAGAGAGCACACACGCACCTACCCCACAGGTGATGCCAGGTCACCCCTTCTTCCATCTCTGCCTGAGAACCCGTGGAAGGCAGCTCTGGAGATGATCGAGAGCCCCCTGGCTTGTCCAGGACTGACTGACTACCCCATGTGGGAACAGTTCCCACTGGGATCTCTTTTCCCACAAGGGTGCTCCTGGGTACATTTTCCAGAGAAGCCCAACTCCTCAAGAAGTACGTAATACTTCCCAGGTCCATCTGCCTGAAAACTGAATTGTCTTTCCCTGTCTTCCCCAGCGGTGGTCTCTTCCCTCCTCCAGGCCTGCAGGTAGTGTGGTGGGGTCCTCAGAAGAGGAGTACCCTCCCAAACTGGCTCTGTTCCAAGGACTCATGAAATGGTGACATTTAATGAGAACCTCCCACCCCTCCCACCCCTGTATATACATCTATAAAAAATTCAAATACAGCAAGTTACCACTGAGTCAGACTAGAAGGGACTGACAGGGCATTAAATACTGTGGGGTAGGACAGGGTCGGGAGAGGGTCATACAAAATGGGCAGGTGTGAGGGGGCTGAAGAGTGTGGTGACTAGGGGGAGGGAGGTGGCTAGGCCCCCCCCCAGCATCAGGAGCTTATAATCTGATGGTGGCAACAGAGACCCTGGGACAAACAGGAGGCTGGGGCAGGAGGAGAAATTGTGGGTGTGAGGGGCTCCCCTTAGGCCCCCCAAGGGCTCCTGGGGGTCGCTGGCGTCGGAGGGTCCAGCCCAAGGGGGGAGGGTGAGGAGGGTCTTTGGTGGGTGGGTTAGCTGCATGGTCCTCCTCCCCTGAGGGAGGGAAGAGGGCCGGCTTGATGTGGCAGAGCTAGGGGTCGGCAGGCCCAGGCCTGCCGGGGTCTCTAGAAATTGTCTGAAGAGAATGCAAAAGGTCCTCCTGCCCATGTGCAAAATAGAAACCGGGGTCTTCGGGCTCAGCTCCGGCCTCCTGCTCCTCTCAGGTGCTCTGGTATGTTCTCACGGGGTCCTGGCTCTGGGGAGAGAGGGCAGGAGCTGTGAGGGATGAGGCTGGGATAGGGTCCCCTCTGACTCCCCTCTCCCACCCAGCCTCACTCCACCTACCAGATCAGGAGGCTGCTGGTTGTGGTGGCAGCAGCAGCCAGGGCCAGAGTGACAGGGACACTAATCAAGAAGGGTATGGAGGGCCCTCCGCCGCTGCCTAGCTCCCCGGTGTCACAGATCTTCGTGGTGGGCAGGGGTGCCAGTGAGCTGGTGGTGCTGGTCGTGGTCTCTGGGGAGCATGGGGGAAACTTAGGGCAGGGCCAGAGCCTGGGATCCTGCCCAGATCTGGGAGTTCAGGAGGCATACTATTCCTATTTCCTGCACCAGGCTGTGCTGCCTTCCCCATCAGGCACTCCTGTCTCCTCTCTCAAACAAGCCCTGCCTGCCCCATCAGGGAGATCCTGTTTCCTAATGCTCAGAGATGACCCCTCTGCCCAATAATTCCTTCCCAGGGCTGTCTAGAGAGCAAGGACCAGGAACACAGGGTCGGAAAGACAGATGGGAGCTTGGCAGCCACAGAGAGTGTGAAGACCCTTAGAGGAGAGGATCCCAGTAGTGGGAGGAGTTGGAGGGAGCAGGATAGATGCAGACTACAGTGCACAATACACAGGATGCAGGAATGGAAGGCAGCTCACCCGGGGCCTGGGCCTCAGTGGTGAGGTGTCGAGGCTCCTCAGTCCAGGGCGTGGCATGGGCGGCCACGCTCCAGTCACTCCATGTCCCGATCTCATTGTCCTTAGCTGCCACCTGGATGATGTACTCCTTCCCAGCATAGGCATCCGTGATGGTGTGTGCGGTGCCATCCGACAGCTCCACCTGCAGCCAGATGGGGGGGCTGAGGACACCTCTGGGGGAAGGAGAGTGAGGCACACACCTCAACAGAAATCAAGAACACCTTTGGGGAGAGGGGAGTAAAAGATGCCCCTGGAGAGAGTGAGGGCTTCCCAGGAAAGGAGATAGTGAGAATATTCCCGCAGGAGGGGGAAGACATCTCCAGGAAAACCCCAGGGACAGAAGTTTTCCCTAAGGAGAGGAATGAAATCTTGAGGGAGGCTAGAACTCCCCCAGAGACAACTCCGTTTAGTGAGTAGGATGCTGCTGTTCTCCTGGCTCTCTCACAATCCAGCCTGAGCCTTGACCTCAGCCCCTGCTTGGAGATGACCAGAGTAATGGAGTGAAAGGAACTGTGGTCTCCTGTCCTCCTCTCTTGTCAGAAACAGCTGATGGGGCTGGGGATATAGTTCAGCAGCACAGTGCCTGCCCAGCAAGCCCGAGGTCCTGAGTTTGATCCTCAGTACCAAAAAAAAAAAAAAAAAGGAAAGAAAAGAAACAGTTGATGGAGGTCACAAACACTGACACTGGAGATAGGCTGCCTGAGTTCACATTTTGGCTCCTTCTCTTACAAGTTAGGTGACTGAGTTGCTTAGCTTCTGAGGGCTTTGCCAGCCCCATCTGTAAAACAGTGTTAATGACAGTACAGTATCTCTCTCTTGGAGTTATAATGAGGACTATACCATGTGAAAAGTACCAAATAGATGTCAGCCAACACTGTCATCATGGGTTCCAGCTCAGCCCCGGTTCCCTGATGCCGACTACACCCATCACAGGCAGGCTGTGGCTCCAGCTCCTACTGGGCCTCCTCCTCAGGGAGGCCTCGGGTGTGTTTATCACCCTGCCTGCAGTGGAAAGGGGTGGGGGCAGCTCCTGGGGGTGCAGGACAGCTGTCCTATTTCCTCCGGGAGGTATCACCACCCCACCCCCGCTGGTTGGCCCCATCCTGCTGGCCTCCCCCACCCTCCAGGCCAGGCTGCCTGTCCTCCACCCCTCCCAGGGCCAGGCTGGGCTCTGGTTCATCTCAGCGGCACCCGCTGCCTCATTAAGCCGCCTCATAAACAGGGGCAGCCGGTGTGGGTGGAGAAGGGGGCTGCTCTGGGCCATGTCTGGCTTCAGGGCTTTTTTGGTCCCTGTTCCAACCTTCCTCCCCCAGAAAACTGGGGTCTGGGCTACCTGACCTGACAGGCAGTGAGTGCACACACTTGTATGTATATGTGTATGTGTACTCGTGCATGTGCCATTGGGTCCAAGTGGAGCCGAACCCCCCAATTCTTGCTGAGTCTGTGGTCCTGATATGGGAGACCCTGGTAAAGGTCAGGGTCATACTGAGACATTTGGATTCAGGCCTGGGCTCAGTAAATTCTACTCCAAGTCCTGAAAGATAGGTGGGCCACAAACACTCTCCTCTCCTGAAGTTGGGGCCCCAGTTCTACCTCTGACCCTTCAGCCTCTTTCTGCACTGCAAAGATCCCTTCTGGATGAGTAGCTGCAGCTCTTTCAGGCCCTTCTCCCTCTTTCCGGCCTGCAATCTTCACATTTGCCTCTCCCCAGAGATAAAGAAAAGAGCCAAGAGGAGCAGATTAAATTGCCACCTCATTGTGGGCTCATGGCACCATAACTTTAGGAATACATCCCAGGAGCCTGGTGATCTGTTGGCAGCCACATCTCCTAGGCCTGGACCCCTCCTGCTAGGTTATTACTGATCCCTTAATCTGTTCCCTTAAGAGAAAGGTTCCTCAAATGGCAAGAATTCCTTTGTTGCTGGCATCCCCTTGCCTTTGGTCAGATGCAGCAGATGTCTGAGTTGCCCCCCAGGCCTCCTGCCTGAGTCACTGCCAGAGCAAGGCACGCAGGCAACCCACACCAGGTCCCAGTACTTGCCTCCTCCTTGTCCATGCTGAGACAGTCCCTCCCAGACCTCTTGGTGCCTATTATTTTCAATTCCTGTCCTGTATTTTCCTCCTAAAAATCTAACTGATGTTTTTCTCTGTTCTCCAATCCACATCCCCTCCGGAACATACACCTGCCTCTCTCCAAGATCAAGGGCAAAGAGAATACATTCTGTTCAGAGCAAAATTCAAGTGGAAAAGAGCCAAAAGCCTAACCCTAATGTCTATGAGACATGGAACCAGGCTAGGATGTGCCATGGGCCACACATGTTCTTGCCATGAACCTGCATACTTTGTTCTGCCCATGTCAGTGTAAGGGACAGTTCTACCTATGGTACAGGCCACTGCATGGTCTTGGCATGTTAGTCTAATGCATGTATGAAGCATGGTTTCTGCTAGGAGCCACGTGTGTGTGCATGTTCCTGTGTGTGGTGGGCAATGTGCCAGGTCCACTGCAAGGCGTGTGCACTGCGACGCGCAGGGCTGCTGCCTGTAGCTCGTTAGCGGGGGAGGGGGCTTGTGAAACTAGACCCTGGTTATTAGCAATGCATTAGGCTCGGGCAGCTGGCCAGGCAAGAGAGACTCCGTATTCTGTTAGGGAACACATGAATGTGTGAGCAGCCTTTGTAGGGGCCAGGCCCACAACTGGACAGGCACCCTGGAATAGAATTACACACTTTAAAGGCCAGAAAGGAGGAAGGCACAAGGAGATAGGGTTGGAGCACATGCATACAATGGGGGTACAGGTTGACACCCAGCAGCTAGCCTGGGTTGCCCCATGAAGCACCCTTCCAATCCCAGTCCTAGTTCACAGACCTTATAGGCCACACAGAGAGACCACAGCTTGAGGGTCCCTGGGCTCTCAATATGAGAACACCCCTAAGTCTGTTCCGAGTTCCTGGCTGGTCTCCATCACAGCTTGATCAACATCCAGACCGCAGCCTGACCACATACTGACCCTTGTCCACTGCTTGATTCTCAGCCCAGGCTGCCACCTGACCTATAATCCTAAACTGATCTCCAAGCTGGGTCTGACTTTGGAGACCTGATGGTAGTCATGGTCTAAACTTGCTCTCTGGACCAAGCTTAACCTTGGTGCATGATTCTGATCCCTTGAACCCATCTATGAACCCTTGAAGACAGAGACTGTCCTATTGCTAGGTCCAGCAGAAACTCAGGGCCTGGGGCAGAGTGTAAAAAGAGATGCCTGGTCAGGGATGATAGCCAGAGGCAAGGAGAGGGAAATGCTGCTTGCCATGCCTGCTATGTCCCTTTAGCACTTCGTTACCCTGCCACAAAGACAGATATGTTCCCCCTGCACCTGTGCAGGTCCCTGGGAACACCTAAGGACCTTTCCCTCAGCTCCATCCATTCTCCATCAACTTGGTCCCTTCTCCCTCGAAAAGCTTGACTGCCATCAGGTCTCCTGTTGGAGCTGCTACCACCTGGGGTATGGGTGCTTCTTGTGCTGTGGCTCTGATTCAGGCACCCAAGATCTGAGAGAGCAGGGCACTCACATGCTGCCACTGGTCCAAAATGAGGGGCCGGTAGCGCAGAAAGAACTTGAGAGGAAAGGACTCAGGGTCAGGCCAAGTTGAAGGAGTCTGCCATGTCACCTCCAGCCGGCGAGGGTTGCTGGGCACTGGCCGAGCTACTACATTTTCTGGAGGGTCAGGCTTCACTGTTCAGGAGACAGAGATTTGTTAGTGCACTGATCTTTAAGGAAAATCAAATTTTGTCAACTTTCCTGTTGCCAACCATTGTCATCTTCATCATGATCACCATCCCGCTTCTCTGTTGTCAGTTCTGACAACCACCATTAATAACCATCTTATTACTCTCACCTCTGACATCCCCATCACCACCAGTGATTGTCTCTACAGTGATGGTCACCAGTTCTTTGTATCAATATCCCCAATTTCATCCCATCATGTCAACCCACCCTTGTGCTGACCAGCATTTCAATAACAAAGCCTACATGTTGCCTTCACTGTGACCACTGTCACCTCCACTGCCACCTGGATCACTGCCTCTTACATCAGCATCACATACTCTCCCTTAGCTCTAGTTTTCCCTCAACTTTTCCAGTTCTAAACTACCACAGGGCCTCTTGGGAGAGTCTAGGTCTGAAGCTGTTCTGTGGGTTAAGGTTAAAAGACAGTCAACAGATATTGCAGACCTGGGTGATCTGAGGGCAGCATCTAAGAGCTCACCTCATGTAGAAATATTCTGGCTGGGGATCTGACCTTGGGGTATGGGAGAAGATGGGGGCAGATGGGAGTGTCTGGTGGAGATGGAGCAGAGAAAGGCAGAGAGCTGGATGGATGGGGCAGGGACCAGCAGAAGGTCAGGCTGGATGGGACAGGAACAGGCAGGAGGATCTGGCTCAGCTGGGACAGCCAGCAGCAGAGGGTCTGACTGGGATGGGGTAGGAGCAGGCAGAACCTGCCTGGAATAGGGCAGGGACAGGCAGAGGGTCTGGCTGGGAGGAGGGTGGGGGAGAGTGCAGTATCTGTCCCAGTCCTGTCTCCTGTTCTGACACCTCATTCATCACAGGCCGTAAGGAAGCCATTAGCATGGCGGGGTGGAGGCTGCAGCTGCACAAGGGTCTGGCCCAGCTGGCCCCCTCCCCCTGTATGCTCTGGGAGCCAGAAAGACAATGGAAAGAGCTGCTGGAGAGGTCTCATGGCCCTGCAGGCAAAAGACATTCACTTGCATGATCACAGGTGTGTACAGGTCATGGATGTATTTACACATGTACATACATACCACATATATCTATGCACAGGTATGACATAACCATGCAGTTGTGCACACATGTGAACATCCTCTCTGATGCTCGTATACACCTCTAACACACTTTCACGTGTACATTCCCAGTGAGATATGCAATAGGGACCCCACCACCACACGCACCAATGGTGAACTCGTCGAAGGTGATAGCTGTGGCGTTGTGACCCAGGGCATTGCTGACACTGATCGAGACCTTGTACTTGATGGTGGAGAACAGGTGCATGTAGCGGATGTGGCAGCGGTTCTTGAGGGCTGGGTCCTTCTCACAGACCATAATTTTGGAGCCGTGCCTGGGGAGGGAGGAGGCCCAGGTACTGTTATCAACATTGAGTGGGGGCAGGTTGGGGGAAGGTCAAGCCCAAGGCTGGGCTGGGGTCAGGACTCAGGGCATGATAGGGGCTAGAGGAAGGTCAGGTCAGGGCTGGAACCAGGTCACAGGTGCAGCTACTCACAGCACAGTCACATTGAAGGTGTTGGGGATGTAGGTGGGGGTGGGCAGATGCCAGCTGCAGTAGAAGCCCTTGGGGTAAGTGTTGGAGCGGCAGCTGAGCACGGGCTCCCGCGGCGGCACTGGGGGTGAGGACAGCAAGGTCAGGATATTCCTAGAGCCCCCAGTCCCCTGCACTAGTGCGGAGACAGGTGGGGCCCAGAGCCCCAGCTCCCCCACCCCAACCCATCATCAGTGCCAAAGGTGGGGAGGTAGGGGCTGTCAGCAAGGGTCTGAGGCTTCCCAGGCCACAGAGAGCCAGATGTTTAATTAAAAAAAACAAGGTTGTGCAGAGGAACCCCCCACCCCTCACCTGCTCAATGGAGGCAGGAACTGTGGAGAGCAGGAGCTGCGGAGCCTCAGCTCATCAATCACAGGATGGAGGTGATGTCTTAGGGAATCAGCCCCAACCTGCATCTCCTGCCATACTGTCCCCTCCCAGGAGAAGACTGTGCTAGAGACCAAAGTGGGTCTTGAATGGGTCCTCTGGTTGCTATGTTGATTGTGGGGAACTTCCTGGAGAAGAGACACCCCAGGAGTCCCCGAAGTGGAAACTGAGAGACACAAAAGCCTGGTGGCTACACAGGAGCAGCAGTCATGTGCCTATCTGTGTAGGTGTCTGTACACTTGGGTGTATGTTACATATGTATCTGTGTGCAAGAGAAATGAGTGGTCAATAACATGTAGGAGGAGCATCTATGTGGATGTAATGTGTGTGTGTATGAGAGTCTGTTGCAAGGAAGCTAGTTCTCTTGGTTCACCTCAGGCCCAGTCCTCTACTTCTCCATCTCAAGCCATTTAAGGAGCCTAGCAGCTGCCTTCACTTTGGAATATGAAGGCCCAGAAAAGCATGGGAACCCTCCTGAGGTCACACAGCAAGCCAGATCTGGGAAGAACCCCCAGAATATAGTTACCCAACCACATCACCACACTCATGCAGTCCTTTCTGCTAACCATACTTTTTGCTGCTCTGAGCACTTAGCCCAGCTGTCCTACTGTCAAGCACTGGGCAAGGTGTGAGGACAGGCAGCTCAGGTTCCTGGAAGGAAGCAGCTTCTGTGATCTGACCCAGGCAAGGAATTTTTGTCTGTGGCTCCAGGGACACTGATACCTCACTTCTCTCCTCCCCCGCTTCCCCGCCCCCTGCCCGACAGGTGGACAGGAAATGGGAGAGCGCAGCTCAATAAGCCAGGGACAGTGAAGGGGAACATGTCTATGCTTCTAGGGTGGCCATGGTGACACACAAGGAACCGTGGGCTTCTGTCCACAGTGTGCATGTGATTTTGAGTGACTGTGTGATTGCATGTACACATGCAGTGTGTTCAGTATGAAAGTGCCTGGGACACAACCCAGAGCCCAGATCTGGTTTTGTAGCAGGAGAAATGAGAGGACAGAGAGGCATCAGGAGAGCTTCTCTGCTGCAGGTGGAGTGGCAGTGCTGGGGGCTATGGCAGCTCTGCTCCCAGTGCAAACTGAGACCCCACAAGGGCCAATCTGTATTCTGCCCACCGCTGTCTACCTCCCCAGGGAAGCCTTCCTGGCCCTGTAGCTGGTCCATATTCATCCTGTGTTTTTAGTATCCTTTCCCTATCTACTCACGGGTGTAGAGCTCTGCATGGGGGTGGGGTGGGGGGCGGCCAAGGACACAGGAAGTGCCTTCTGGGGGCCTGTGGGCCAGGCCAGAGTTGGCAGCCACCCCAGGAGGAAAGGACATTCTGAGGTCGGCCGAGAATCCTCCACTCCCCACTCCTGCTACCACCCCCCCCCTTGCCTCCAGCTTCAAAGGAGAAGGGCACTGGGGGGTGGAGTAGGGACTGAAGCCTGCAGAGTCAGCTCCCTGCTGCCCAGGACTCTTTGGAGGGCAGAGCAGGCCACGGCACTGGACTCACAGGCCCCCTCTCTGGGCCAGCTTCCCTACTGACCAGTCTCCTTCATTCCCCTCTAGCTGTCCTCCCCACTCAGGTCAGCTTCCCCTTCAAAACTCCCCCTCAAACCAGTTCCCCCCTCTGACTGGGCAGGTCGAAGGGGGGCCAGGGCTGGGCAGGGGCTTTGTCATCTGGCTACTCCTGCCTGGCCCTGGGCCCTGAGCAGGGAAGGGCTTGGGTTTCCTGACAGGGACCAGGTTTCTCAGAGGGAAAAGGAGGAAAGAAAAACAAAGAAAAAGGAAGAAAAGGAGTGACTTACTGCAGCTGGATCCCAGCTGAGGGGCCGGGTGGGTGGAGATGGGGGTGCTGTGAGAGACCAAGTGTGAGACTGTGGGGACAGTGTGGGATCAGGAGGCCTGTTGTGTGTTGTGAACTGGAGGAAAAGCTGTTTTTAAGACACCGATTGTGAGGCGCTGCGTGTAACTCTGAGGCTTCATGACCAGACTCTGGGTAGTCATGTAACTGTAAGACTGGAGGCTGTAAGGGACTGGACAACTATATGACTTGAGGTGAGGATGTTCAATTAGAGAATATCTCTATCTGGAGACTGTGTATCTGAGGTCCTCTGTGAGAGAGTTAATGTGCCACTGTGTCTGAAACACGGTGACAGCTTGCTACACATGAGACACTGGGTACGTGATGGAGCTTGGGCCTGACTGTGTTTTTCAAGCTGTGGGTATGGGAAGATGCCCCAAATGCCCAGCAGGTCTACATGTATGCACTGGACACTATGCAGCATGTCAGAGGTGGTGGTGTGTGAGCAAAAGCGTATACACATACACATCACAACATCACACTCTGGGTGTATAAGCATGCTCCTAGATATCCAGGCATCCTTGGTTTCCCCTTCTGGGGTTCCTGAGATGCCTTAGTGACTGTCAGCCGTGGCAGGGTATCCCTGAATCCCATGCGGGGCTGTGTATGTATGCGTGTGCATGCATGCATGTGCCCCTGCTGGCTAGAGATTTGTTTGTTTTCTTCCTAATTGGCTTGTTTTTCCATGTCCAGCCCACCAAACCGCATGTTTTTCCTCTCATCTCGCCAGCCGGCCTGGGCTGGAGCCCCCGGCACGCATGAGGCCTGCCCATGGCTCAGAGAGGAGGAAGGGCAGGCTGCCCACACCCTGGGCCAGGCCAGATCAGGCCAGGGTGGGGCAGGATGACCCGTCCGCTCCAGCCCTGCCCACACCACACCCACGCTCCTCTTCCCTCCCAACATTCAAGCCCCATGACTTGTCCCAACCATATCTTGTGGCATCCCTCAAAGCAGCCTAAGTTCTAAGCTGTCAAATGCCCCCCTCCTGCCTCCTACTCATGATTTCTCCCCAGACATCTTCAACCACAGCCCCCTCCCAGACAGGGCTGAAGGAAAGTAGTGCTGAACCAGGGGGTCTGAAGTTTCCCTCCAGACCACTCTCAAATTTTTTTAAAAAATGTAAAAACTGGACAAGGAACTGTCCATTTAAAAATTATTTTAATCTCTGGTTTGTTTTAGCTTAGAATCCGAATGATACTGAATCAGCAATGTCTAGTAAACAAAAGGATGCTATTAAAAGGAACAGTGTGATCCCATTTCTTAATGTGGTGGATCCTTTCATCATCCTAGGTAGGAGTCTTCAGAGCTATTTATTAAGGATCCACCCAAGGGCACAGAGGTGGATCAGGAAAAAGCAGTTCAGTGAGCAGCCAGCCTGGTTAAGGAGTCTTTCAACAGAATAGTATTATGAAACAAACATAAAAATCTTGCATGTTTAAGATAAATTTTAAATAAATTAATCTCTGACCCACAAATCAGGAGTAACCTGGGCTAGTTCTCTGAGAGCTGGCAATATGGATAATTTGATATTGAGCATTGCCAACTCCAGTCTCTTGTTACTAATATAAAGTGACTGAGACAATCATGATTAATATTCCCTGTTTCTCTGACCAGGTCTTTAGAAGGAAATAAGGCAATGAGAGATAACTACCTGCTATGAACACTACAAACAATTCACGGTCAGCCATCCTCTGATGGCCAGGAACTACAGAGCAAAGAGCACTGTATGTAAGCAGTCTGGGCTTACAACAGGGAAGCTGTGGGCATGTCCTGTGGGTCAGGGCCATGGCCATTACTTCAAGACTCAATTCCCCTCCAATGAGCTCTTGAAGATCACAGGAATGGTGACCCACAGTCACCTAAACTCAGCCATCACTGTAAACCTTATCCATCCTGAAGACTTTTGGGACACACATTGAGAAGATAGAGCTGTGGGTGACTCATGATGAGAAGGCCTCTTCCTTCTTCCAGGGCACTCATCAAACAGCTTTTCCCTCCAGTGTAAGGGCCCAGAGCTAGGCTGAGGGGCTCTTCTGCTGTTGGACTCCATAGTGCTCCTGGTCCTGCATTTCTCAGAATGGCCAAAAGGGGTCACTCCACCCTTGGCTTGCAACTAAAGGGTTTGGCTTGAATTCCATTCCAATTTAAACACTTTTTTGTGTGTGTGTAGTACCGGGAATCAAACCCGGGACCTTGCGCTTGTGAGGCAGGCGGTGGAACCACTGAGCCAAATCCCCGGGCCCTACTTAAACACATTTTTAAAAGGATAAAGGTACATCTCCACCAAAACCTATTTTCACATTTCATTCAGTCCCACTGGTGGGTCAGTATTTTTTTTGTTGGTACTGGGGATCGAACTCGGGTCCTTGCGCTTGTGCAGCAGGTGGCGAAACCGCTGAGCTAAATCCCCAGCAGGTCAGTATTTTTGTAAGGGTTGGTGAGCAACTCTTCAGCCTAACAAATTTCACATGGCTGTCCACACCAGTCTCCTGACAGGGCAAAGACCTGTTCCCAGATCCCTTAAGCATCTTCTTGGTAGCTTCTAGGGAATAAAGAAGCCATCTTTAGGCCCTGGAGTGAATCACACTCAAATTGGATGAAGCCAGAGGAACACGAATTTTTGACTCAGGAGGGAAAAAATGGAGAAGTGTTCTGAGAGTTCACTCTGTGGGTGGGTGACTCTGGGTGAGACCAAGTGCCTGACTACATGACCCTCAGTGACACTGATGACTTCATTATTTTGTTTTCTTCAAGCCTCTTTTCCAAATCATACTCACCTGGTCTTCCCTCTACCTTCCGGCTGGCTCCTCTCTTTCTGTGGTTTATTTCTCTCCAACAACCCCTTACATGCTGATCATCTTCAAGGCTCAATTCTAGGTACTCTTCTCATCCCAAAAATCTCTCCTTTGGACATCTCACCCCCTCCCATGGCCTTATTGCTGATAACCCCTCAAAGTTCCATCTCCAGCACAGACCCTGTCCCCTTAACACCCAACCCTTGGATTCAATTATTGCCAGCCACCAACTCCCGGTTGTCCCCTGAGTACCCCCATCCTACGCGTCTGCAGCAGATGTCTGTGGAGCCACCATATCCCTCACCCACACCACTTCTCACTGCCAACTTCTGTAGTTATTTGCCTAAGAGCTTTCTCTGGCCACCAAGGCCTGTTTTTGCCTGCTCAGGCATCAAACTGGGGATGCTGGGGAATTAAGGCACTCCCCACCCATCCACCCACACACAGCCTGAGAAACCCTCTACCGATGATGGCAGGAGTTTATAAACATCCCAGCTCCCTCTCCCTGCAGGCAGAAGGACTGACTCTGAGGTGTGTGTTCTGCATCCACATTCAGGGTTCCCTCAGTGATGGCTCCAGATACCAAGAGGTGACCTTTGATAACTCACTCTTTACTGCTAACTTAGCTTACTTCTACTGTGTCACTTTCCCATTTCTCTATGGTGTTTCCATCACCTGGCAAATAAACTACCTGCCTATGAATTCTCATCTAAGAATCTGATTCTAGGGAAACCCAAACCCAGACACTGTTCAAACAGAATACACTGTCTTTTCCTCTCAGTTGCAGTGTACCTCCAGCTGCCTCCCACTTCTTACTCTCTTGTTCTTGCCACCTCCAACCAATTACCAATTCGCGGTGGTGGTGGGGATTGTTATAGCTCAGGAATACAGCATTTGACTGCAATTCCTGGAGTCCCAATCCCACCCTAACTTCCCCAACTCCATGCCCTGTTGCCAGGTCCTCATCATCTCTCCTGTGTCTAGCAAAGCCTCCTTTCTGCTCTGGGTTTTCCCCATCCAACTTGGCTCTCTTCACTGCAGTGAGAGGCAGCTTTTAAGAACCTGATTCAGGCCATGTCACTCCCCAGCTTCCACGATAATGATTTGCTCCCTTCTCCCATTTATACCAGCCCAAGTGGCTTCCCAGCCACTCCCAGCTTCTAAGGCCTGTAAGTCACAGTCAGCTTCAAGCCACAAATGATGTTTCAATGTATCTTTTGAACAGTCCAATGTATCTTCTGGGTCTCCATGTGCCTTCTACTCCAAGAAGCTTTCCTCCTTCTCTAGGTTCTTCCCAGGAGACTCTTATCTATACCTGCATAGCCATATGTCCCTTTCCCTCCCTCAGACCTCTGGCCAGCCCTTTGAGAGCAGACACAGTGAAGCCACTTGAGCTCAGAGCTTTGACTCTAAGATCCCTTCCCATTCAGGTCCCATATGGCTCTCCTCTGCCTGTTCTGTTTTAGGGGACAGGATTTCAGGACCTCAAAGACCTTTTTAGAGGTGGGATACATGGATGCAATGCCCAAGGGTCTGGACTCATTAGGCAAGACTGGGCTCAGAGATCAGAAGAGCAGGTTAGGATAGGATCTGAAGGCAAGGGTCAGGCTGCAGCCCTCCCCTCTCCCTGGCCCCTCCCATTGGAAGAGGACTTGGTCTGAAGTCTGGGCCTGAAGGAAGGTGACAGATCAGATAAGGGGCTGGGGAACAACACTTACAGCCCACATGTAGCAGGACTTGGTGGCGCAGGTGCCAGGAGTCACGGTGGAAGCAGGCGTAGAGGCCACTGTGGCCCAGTTCCAGGCCATGGAGCACCAGCTGAGAGCCATTGAGAAGGTCAGAGGCCAGGTCTGTCCCATTTACTCGCCACGTCACAGCTGCATCCCAGTTTGCTGTCCCACATGGCAGCGTCACATCTGAGCCCAGGCGCTCATACTGCACATGGGGTGCCTCTGTGGGGTTGGAGAGGACACAGCAAAATTCACAGGTCACAGCCCTGCCTAGCACCACTGGGTGAATGTGTACAGATGACACCCTGTGAAGGCACACAGTGGGACCAGGGAGAGGCACTGTAACCATGAGATTTATCTTGGGGAGAAGAGGCATGTGCAACTTCTCTTTTGCAGGTATGTGAGTGTTTCTAAGTTTGTATTTGTGTGCAGGTAAGGAGTGTGTACGTGTGCACATGTGTATGTGAATGTGTGAGAAAAAGAGGAGAGAAAGAACGAGTGAGGTTATTGAGTTTGTGTAGCGCTGAGAAGGGTCAATTCTCAGTGAAAATTCTGTTCAAATCCAGTCCCTGGGGCATTTATAAAGTTTCCCTGAGCCCCCATGATCCTAACTTCTTGCCACCAAGTCCAGCCCGTCACTGACACCCATCACCCAACCAAAGTGGCGCTGAGAGGTCCCATTCCCGGATTCTGATCTCTACCCCTATTTCTCTCCCTCATCCTTGTCTTTCTGTCCTGTCTCTATCTCTCTACATCTCTCTTCCTCCCCCCTCCCTCTCCCCAACTGTTTGCCCTCCACAGCCCCTTTCCCACTAGCCATCCAGGGCTTAGACAGCAGCAGAAGTGAGAAGGGCACGCCATGAAGTGAACCCTGGGGAACTCCTGGCAGCTGTCAACTTCGTGAGGTGGTAACTGTAAAGTGTGGGGGAGGCTGGGACTGAGTGAGTGCTCTGACCATCCTCTCCTGCCCCCAGGAGGGGACTGTCAGAACCAAAAGCAATCCCCAGCCCTGGCCTCAGCAGCCCAGGCAAGATGGACTGAGCCCAGGAGACTGGAGATGGAAGGGAGCACCTGTCGAGAGGCAGCGCCAGGTGGGGGAAGCAGCGAGCAGGACAGAGTCAGAGGCAGATCCGCAGTTAGCAGCAGCAGAGGCAGGCATGCAAAGCCAGTGAGATTGGAATCTTAGGACACCCCCCAACTCCAGCTTCTCATCCTACCCCCTAAGCCTGGAAGGACAGATGCTTCCCTCTTCCCAGCCAGATCTGTGGAGTGAGGGTGGGAGGGGAGAAAGGAGGGGTGAGGGGGCAAGGGGGGGCTGCGGGATCCCTCGTTAACACTCTTCACATCTCCCCTCCAGAGAGCCACCCCGCTGAGTTGGGGGATTTTCAGAGGCAGTTCCTGTTAACGAGCCAATTAAGTTGGGCCAGTGGCCTCTTAATTAGACTTGTTAACACCACCAGGACTGGGGGGGGGGCAAGGATGCCCCTGGGCCTGCCAGCCACCCCTCCCCCTTACAGCAGCCCCCTCCTCAGGACTGCTTTTCTCTATGCTGGAACATCTGTGCCTGTTTGGTGCCTCTGTTGTCCACCCTGTTCCAGGGTCTCTGTGTCTCTCTTCCTCACTGCCTGTCTGTCTTGCCCCTCTCTGAGCCTCTCTGTCCCTGTCAGAGGAGAAGGAAGCAGGAAACCCAGCCAGCCCTGACCACTCGTCTGTGGGGCCTGGGACCAGCCAGAGGATGAACAGGCGGAAGGGCGGTGGCTGGGGGCCTTGGAGGCCACAGCTGTGAGGCTGGACTAGAGACTGAACAGGGGCCTCCCCCTGACCAGAGGCCCAGTGTCCAAGACTCAAGCCATTGACCCCCCCCACCAAGTCCACCAGCTCCGGCCACTGAGCACCCCCCACCCCAGCCTTCCTTCCAAAAACCTGGAGCGTCCAGGAAACATGCCAAGCCCCTCTCTCTGAACACCACCCCCCAGGAGCAACTTTGCATCCAGCTGCCTGAGGAAGAGGCTGAAAACTGACCGTTGGGGAGGGGGCGTGGCCATCACAGTCCCAGTGGCAACACATTCACACTGACCTAGAGCAACTCAGAATCAACACAGACCGGGTATGGCCTTTAGTGCTGGGAGGCAGGTACAGCCACAAGGTGAGGAAACAGCAACTCAACAATACAAAAAATACAATGGCAGTGGGGTTAAAACACTTCCCCACCACACCTTGTTCCCTCACAAAAGAAACAGGAACACAACGAGACAACAGTGACAAAACAAGGATGGAAGAGCAGGGAAGGAATAAAAAATGACAGTGCAATGACAGAAGACAACTACAGGACACAATACGGGGGGGGGGCAATGTGACACGATCATCACACAGTGTCACAATTGCTACAATAACACAACAATTACAATACACACAGCCAAGCAACAGCTCCAAAGATGGCAATAATTTAATCCTTTGTCTCTGGACAGCTCTCCTCCCACCCTGTGGGTGCCCCTACTGATGTGCTGTCCATTTCAGAAATTAAATCAAGCAGCAGGGGGAGGATGGGGTTCTTGGCCCTGACTCGGTGACAAATGCTCCAAAGGAATCAGCTGTGAAAAGGTTGTTAGAAGCCAGGATGAGAGACAGAGACAGGATGAGGTCATGGACATGCAGAACACAGAGGGACAGAGCTGACAGCTCCCTCACACCTGCACACATAGGCTCACATGGGGACCACATGCCGGAAACAGTCCCCCCGGGGCATCCTAAGCAACTTCACATCACTACACAGGATGAGAACGGTCACCCACAAAGAACCAGCACATACAGGAAAGTCATCCACAGGGCTGTAGTCACACGTGTGTTCAGTCACAAAGAGACACTGTCCCACTTCAGGAATGGTAACACCTGATACAAGATCACAGACATGTACACAAAGGGCACTGTCACCTACAGGGACAGTTACACACGAAGGCAGGGTCTCTCACACAAGGAGACAACTTAACAGGAATATAAACAAAAAGAAACAGATGTAGTGTACTATTTTATACATGGGGTGTATTCTCAAACACAAGAATATAGCCCCTAAAAGGGCACAGTCACACAGACAATGTCACATAAACGGTACAACCCACAAGGATAGAGCTGTACACAGAAACCCACTCAAACAGGGATGTACAGTCACCTACACAAGAACAGTTTCACATAGTCTCTGAGACTGGCCATATGCCAAGGCCTTGGTCATGTGCAGCCATCTTTACATAATACATGTAGAGACCTTTGCAAAGGCAGAGACCACTGGCAGGCCCTGCGAAGGTGGTGTGTGTGGCCAGGGTCTCTCTGGGTCTCACTGCGTTGGTCTCACAGGCAGAGTCCACAGAATACTAAACCTGTTACTCTTCTGAACCCCAGCCTGGAAGTTAGCAGAGCTCAGCCATCAGTTCTGCTCCATGCCTGGGCTCTGGAGATGCTCCCAACACCTGTTTCTGTCCAACCCAGCTGAAGTGGAGTGTGGATGGGACCTAACCAGTGGGGGAGCTTAAGGATCCTCATTCAAGACAGGTTTCAAGTTCAGAACTTGCATCGGGAGGTGCTGCCTCAAAGGCAGGAGAGGGGCTGATGGCAAAATAGAAGGGCATTTATTCCCCCAGCAGGGGTGCAGCTCTTTGTTCTGTGGGCTGTGGGAAGGACTCAGCCCTCACTGGACAAATAGGTGGGGGAAGTGGGGGAGGCTGCCAATAGCCCAGTCCCTGAGCAGTCCCTCCCCACTCGACATTCCAGCTGACTGACTGGTCCCCTTCCTCAGTGCACCAGACTCTCCCACCTCTCCCCCTCTTCCTTCTAGGATAAAGCTGAGGGTAGACAGTGACTAGCAGTCTTTCTCACTGTCTCCTATCAGTGCCCCCAACTGCACCCCCACAACTCTGGTGAAGGAGATTCCCCTTTTACCCAAATACTGTACAGGTATCCATACCCTACTCCACTCCCAATTATCCTCCCATCTCTCTACCCTACATTCTCCCTAATGGGAAGAGCGACAGATCTTTCAAACCAGAGAGACACAATCAGATTGCATGTGACCACTCAGGTGTGACTCTGAAGGTCTGTGCCTATGAGACATCAGTGGGTCACCCTGCTGTCAGTGTCACATGACTATGTGTCCCTCAAGGTGCTCGTGTGCAACAATGCCAGCATGTGCCTGTGTGACTACTGGGTGGTGTTAGTATGCAGCTGTGCCAATGAGAATTCATAAGCATCTCGGTGAGGCGGGGAGGTCAGCAGGCAGCTCCCCTGAAAACTCACCCTGTGGACTGTGTCTCTGGGTGTAGACAACTGCGGCAGCAGCAGCAAGCACAGCACAGCAGGCCCATGGGACAGGAGCAGCCATCTGTTGGAAGAAACAAGTGGAGGAGGGCAGCATCAGCTCAGACAAGAACCTCCTGAGCACCCCCCCTGTTCTCAGGCAAGACTGGAAAATCCCAGCCCTGGGGCCAGCGTACCTTGATCCCAAATGCCCTTCTTAATGGGGCTCAGGATCCTCTTTCAGCAACAGAAAGCAACATTACTGGCATCTACAGGCAAAGGTTTTCTACAATTGTAGAAGGCAACCTACAGTGGTTTGTTGTTCAATAAGACTGCTGGCTATGGAATGTAGTCAACTGTGGATGAGTTATAGAACACTGGTAATGTCAGGGCTATTTTTCTAAAAAGAAATATATAACTTTACTGAGGTTGGCTAATTAGCTATAAACATCACAAACTGAGAGGGTAATGTTTTAACTTAATTGGAGGTCTGTACTTCTCCAAATTGCCTTGCATGGAAGGCCCCCTGCTGTGCTCCTGGGGAAAAGCCCTGAGACCTAAATGCTCAGGAGCCTCTTGGATCTGTTGTTGATCCCCACCCATCCTTCCAAGAGCCTAGTCTCTGGGCTCTGGGAAACTCAGAGCAGCAGGGTACCAGGCCAATGGTACATGACCCCAGTCCGGTGTGGTTGTGCTTTACTTTATACCAGTGATGAAGAGAAAACAAGGAATGTTTATATGTAAGTCTTTGTCAGGGACCCAGGTCCCAGGGACCCAGGGACCCAACTTTACTTCAGCCATGTGCCCACCAGGACATGGGACTCCCAGCCCAGCAGATGCACTTGTGTCTACATGTACCCAAGTAAGCATACAAAGTACACTCAGGACATGTCCCCAGAAGCCAGGCAGGATCCAGCACCCTCACCTGGTGTTTGCTTCCTGGGATGAGTCCAACTGCTCCCACTCCCAACTCCAGCACACACACTCACACCTAGGGCAGAGAAATAACTATTTCCTGCAGAACAGACCCCAAATACAACAGCCTTCTCTCCTGTCTGAGGAGGGAGAGGAACGGTCAACCAAGAAAGAGATACTGAGGGACACTACCACTCAACCAGGGCGACCCTCAGAGATATAGACAATGTCACAGCAAAGACACTGGCCAGAGATACCCAAACAACCACAGAGAACTCCAAAAACCAGCTCCATACATAGGGAGAGAATACTAGAGACTGTTAGAGAGACCATCAGACAAAGGTGGATATAACCAGATAACCAGCCAGAGAAATGGTAAGAGAATGGCCAATAAAACCAAAAGAGCTGCCACAAACACTAAAAGACTCAGTTAGACCCATGCATACATACTGCCAGAGGAAGAGCAAGGAGCATAGGCAGAGAATCCACCAGCAACACAGCCAGAGAGCTAGAGACGCTGTCACAATCAGTGCCAGGGAAACTGTGTGACACACAGGCACATAAATACAAGAGAAACTGAGAGACACAAACAGGCATACACCCAGACAAACGGCTAGAAAAAGAGCCAGACTCACAGCCAGATGCTCAGTCAGGAAGTATCTACACCACTAAAAACACTGCCAGGGGACACTGTCAGACACACAGTCAGATACTTCGCCAGAGACCCTGTCAGGGACACAGCCAGGGACACTGTTAGAAATACTGCCAGAGAAACAGCCAGACACACATCTAGGGAAACTGACAAGAGATGTACTGCTGGATATACCCAGAGAAAGTGCCAGAAACAGAAACAGTACAGGCATGGCTATAGCAGAGGGGAGACAATGATGGGTATCAGTCTATAGCAGCTGGGGTGGGAGTGGATGGAGAGAATCTGACTTCCTGGGACTCCGTTACAGGAGAGGGTTCCTGCCTGTCCTTTGCTGCTCCCCGCTTTCCCCAGGAAAGTTCTCCTCTTTGAATCTGTTTGTCCTCTTGGCCACAGCCATAGCCACAGGTCCTCTGACTGCCCCTCCCTGTACCTCCCTTTCCACAATAATAACTCCTGGGGCCTTAGCCACCACTTGGCCTGGCTCCTTTTGACCCTCAGCCATTCCCCATCTTCAGCTACTCCTCAGGCTTAAGAGGTTAAGGCAAAGACTAGAGCCACACAGCCAGCAACCAGGCAACAAACCTAGGAATGTCTGAATTCAAACCTGGTACTAGAAAAAAGAGACAGAGGCTAGAGGCCTACCTGATTCCCCACCTCAGCCTTGCTGGTGGCCCTCAGACCTTCCCCCTCCATCTCTGCCATCTGTCGATGCCTTTCTCCTCACAGCCAGGAAGATCTTCCACCTCAGTGCCAGGTCCCCTGACCACCACATGGGAGCAGGAATCAGGCCATGGGCAGGGAAATAAGCAAGCGGAATGGACTGAGGTTAGATCACAGGATGGGAGTCAGAGGGAGAAGGGCAAGGATGGTCTCTGCTCCCAGCTCCTTCTGGGTCCCAGTCAGGTAGGAGGGGGAGGCATCCAGGCACGCACACAAACATATACCCCATGAGTACATGCACACACACACACACACACACAAATGCTTAGGCCCCCGCAGGGGGAGGGGTGGCTTCTTCATCAAAGTCGCCTCCATCAGCCCGATGAGTTACTGTAAGGGCCGGGCCCTGGGCCAACGGGGCTGCAGCCACGGGAGACAGGCGCTGCTGAGAGAGAGCTAGCGCTGCAGAGAGTGGGGGTGGGGCACCAAGACAGACACTGCAGGGTTGAGGCACCCAGAGAAAGGAAAGGCCCAGGGAGGAAAAATGGAGAGGCAGGGAAAGAGGCAGAGTGCTGAGTGGAGACCCAGAGGGACAAGGAGAGACAGAGATAGAAATGGAAGGGACACAGGGAAGAAGAGAGGGCTCATGGGGGATGTCCAAGGTAGAAGGAGAGACAGATTCAAAGCATCTCTGTGCTCACACCTAGAGCACCTTGGGGAGTCCCCCCAACTCGTCTAGTGGGAAGGAGGAGGGTGTCCAGCAGCAAGAACTGGTGTCAGGCAAGACAGCAGGACCCTCCTGGGGGTGGGGGAAATTCCCAATGGAAAACTAAGAGTCCAGCCCCCAAGGCACAAGAGTGAACTGAAGCCAGTGATTTAGCTCAGTGGCGGTGCACCTGCCTCAAAAGCAAAAGGTCCTGAGTTCAATCCCTGTTACCAAAAATTTAAAAACCCCAAAACGAGTGAACTGAAATCTTACCCCTGCTCCTGCCTCTGCCAATCCCCAGGCCACTTTCCCCTTTCATTTCCTGAGAATCCCAGCTGGACCCAGTCCACAGGTGGGGAGGCTAAGGCTGGAGGCATCCAAAACATACCACTGCCCTGCCTTGGCTCACTTCAGGCTCCCATCCCAGAGCAAAGAACATCTTTCCCAGGAATTTTCCAAGCCCACATCCCATGACTCTGGGATAGATCTGGACGATAAATGCCGTAGAGCCCCAGAAAGGGCCATGCAAACTGTCCCAGGTTCCCTATAAACCCCTTGAAGAGGTCAACCCCAGAATGAGGAGGGAGCAGAACACCCCACCAGCAAGAAAGAAGCCCAGTGCTCAGGAGCACAAGGGTCCAAGCACCTGTCCAACACGAGACCCCAGTGTTTCATTACACACACACACACACACACGCACAGAAATGACATATAAGACAAATCCTGGAGCCCCAATTTACTGCAATTGTCCCACTATGACACAAATATACCATTACACAGTGATAATAACACCCAGTGAAAATGATACAATAGGTCTGCTGACAGTGACACAGTACATGTCAATAGTCACCATATGCCAATGATGTAGTGAATGAAAGTTACATACAATGACACAAACAGCAAGGCAATGACACTTGTTGAGGCTGACACAGTCACAGTGATGGTAACCTCAGAATCAAAGATGTAACGAGACTGGTAAGTCACATAGAGAATGCTAATGGTGACATTAACACAGTGACAGGGATGTTGATAGCCTCAGTGACACACAAAATGACAGCAGTCCACAGCAATACTGGCACCCATGGAGGATGTCAGTCAACATCAGTAACAGATACAGTGACAAGCTCCAGATGAGGGACTTCAATTATTCAGTTTTGGAGTCCAACTTAGGACCCAGGACCCAAGACCTCTCTTACCAGCCCAGAAATGTTCCAGTTTCCCTGTTTCCCTTTCTCACCCCCTGCTCAGCTGAAGGCAGAGCCTGCAGCATGGAGCTGTGAGTTTTGGAAAGCCTCTATTTATCCCTGCAGAACCATGGCCAGTACTGTGGGTTACCCAAGGCCAACCCTGGAAAATCCCTACCACAACCAGGTTGGGGTTGGGGGTTATGGGCACCAATAACTGGGTCTCAGCTTCAATTGCGTTTGAGTGTTACCAGCAATAGTGTGTTCTGAAATCTGGAGGGGAAGCCAGCATGATGGTCAGGCTCCATTTGACCTAGACAATGAATGAGCAGAGAGGCCTCACACTGTGACCTCAAAGCAAGATTACAGGTCCAACTCCAAGAAGGAGAACTGAGATCCTAAGGTCACCAGCCAGGACCCCCCGGCCCCGCCTGCCAGTGCCGGAGTGGGGCCAGGAACAGTCACCCAATGGAGGGTTTCTCGCCCAGTGCAGGGCCAGAGTGACATCACAACTTCCAGTTCCCTTGAAGCAACACTAGACTTCTGAATCCTACAGAGGGAGGCAGAAAGGGGGCCATTTGTCCTGAGGCCTCATCTCTTTCCCCTCTCTTCACAGCAACCTGTAGCACCCACTACTGATTCAAATGCCTGGGGAACTGCAGGCCTCAGACCTGCAGAGGAATTAGGGTGGAGGAAGAAAGGGAAGACACATATACTGCACATGGAGGGGGAGAAAGAAACCAAGCAGGGTGGAGGGAAGATGGGGACATTGACAGGATGGCCAGGGAGGAACAGCACTGGCCTGGCCAAGGAGAAGCCTGGAAGAGACAGTCAGGGCGGTTGCGAAGCTCCAGGAGGGGGAGGAGGGGCCGAGGCCAGGAGGCCCCCAGATCCCACCAGGCCTAGGCAGCCTGGACAGTGTGGGCGGTGGGGGCGGGGGCAGAGGCCTAAGCCGTCCAGAGGCTGGAAGGGTGGGGGGCCAGGCCGAGGAGGAAGGCCTGGCCCCTGGCAGCTGGCCCAGCAAGCCCCCCACCAAGGAGGGGGCCGGCCCAGGTCAGGGGCCAGCTCCCATGCTGGGGCTGGGCTGGCCATGGGCAGGCTCCCACTCCCTGTAGTGTCTCAGAGCCCTTCTGTCTCTCTGAGTCTCTTGTCTCAGGCTCTTTCTCTTTTCCTCCTCTTCAGAATCCAGACTTGTTCCTCCTCTCAGCTCTTGGTGCCCCAAGTGACATAGGACCCAGAAGCTATGCTAGGGTTATGCAATCCTTTCCTCCTCCTGGGCTCCCTCATCCCTACCCTCTCCAAGGGCAAAAGTCGGGTTCTCAGGGGGAAAGGAACCCACAAAAGCATAGCCCCCCTCCTACCTCTTAGAAGGGGACAGGATAAGCTGAGCACCAATGGGAGGGGGGCCAAAAGGGAGGCAGGGGGAGCAGTCCCCCAGCTCCAGTCGCTGGCTGAGGTTGTGGAAAAGGAGGCGGCCCAATGTGAGTGAGTTGGGGAGGGTGGGTATCCGCACCTGCTGTTGTGACCTCCACAGCCGGAGATGGGGGCCTGGGGGGGGGACGACAAGATTCCGATGGATTTTGGCAGCGGCCTGGACTCTGAGTGCTCAAACCCCCCACCCCCAGCCTCTTGCACCGTGGGGACCCTGAGATCAGCATGTGCGTGCCCTGCTGCACGTGTGTGCGGGCGTGTTGGGGGAGTCTGGAGCCCTCCCATGATGGGCCCGGCTGGGTAGCTGGGGAGGTGTCCTGGGGAGATGGGAATCTGTCCCACCAGCCTGTGCCCACATGTGAAAGCCCATTTGGGGCCCTGCAAGCTGTGGTGACCCAGGCATGGGATTGTATATGCACATGCTCGTAAGCCTCTGTTCAAGCAGCCCTCTAGATGCAGAAGGCCTGGGCTTTCTTCCTCAGAAGTCATCTGGTCCAGCTTCCTGCCTCTTGAATGAGGAGCAGGAAGGGGCAGATAAATTCATATCCTCCCTTTGGGCCCATGGGTCCTGGACAGTTTCACAGGACCTGAGGTACAAGTGCCAAATACGCTATCCCTCAACCCCAGTCCAGAATCTCTTCTGGATTCTAGAAGAATCAGGAGGATCCCTTCTCCCAGAAAAGGCCCTCACAGTCTGGTTAAGTATAAGGGGAGAGGGCTGCTGCTCCTCTTGGAGGAACAGAATGTTACAGCAAGAGGTGGGACAGCTGAAAGGACTCCATGAGAGGCCGGGGCTGGGCAGACCAATAGAGCTGAACGAGACTTCCCTCCGAGAGGGGCAGGAGAGGGTCCACAGCAGGTGTGGGGTGGGCAGGAAGGAGGTTGCAAGGAAGAGCCCTCCTTGGAGGGTGGACAGAATGGCTTTCTATACTTGGAGTCTGATTCAAAGACCTACTTGCCTCAGCAAGTCCTACCATACCCCATCCCTGGCCCCATCACTGCTATGGTAGACACACCCTTGAAAGTATACACAGAGGCCCATGCATGCAAGCCTACACACACACACACACACACACACACATGCATGCAAGCCTACACACACACACACACACACACACACACACATACATGGGGTGGGGGCTGCAGTGTATGTGAAGCATGGGTTTGTAACAAAAGGAACTAACGAGGGTCTTTCTAATAGAATCAGAGTTGAGTTGAGGGGAAAGAAGCTTGAACTGTTGCTGTGGAACAGTGTTCTGCTCTCTCTGCCCCCCAACATGCATATGCACTATGCATGCGGCTTCTGAGGAACCTTCTGGTCTGCTGGGCAAGAGCAAGCCATCCTTCCTCCCCCTTCCTCCCCTCCTGCACAGTGGGGAAGCTAGAGCAATCTGTTCCTGATGGGTAAACACAGGCACAAGTATGCGCACACACATGCTCACACACACACACCAGCGATTGAGGGTCACACAGGATGCAGTGCTCACTTCACCCCAAGATGGAGCACACATTTAGCTTCTCACTGCCACCCTGTGGAGCTCCCCACAGCCCCTCACCTCCATTTACACACAGCCAGAGCTTTACAGACACACCCAGGATGCCTCTCACTCACTGGCACTCAGAGTCTACTATCACAGCCACACATCACAACCTCCCACATGGATACCCACTGCCACAGCCTCACACTCACTGGTGTGTGTGCACACACAGTACAGTCACAGTCACACACAGACTCCCTCACACAAAACAGTCATGGTGTCACATATGGATACTATCACACACTCAGCACAGTGTATCTTGCATTTAGACACCACTGTACACCTCCAGAAGCTCAGACCCCCTCATTCACCCTCAGTCTCTCACACCCCCACACCTGCATGAACCTGAATGGAAAAGTCATGAATACACACTCAGAACAGTCATGCCATGCTGGGACCTCAAGTTGCCTGGCTGTGCTTCAGACAAGGGAATTAAGCCAGGACAGTCTGTATCAGGAAGAGAAAGGAAGGGAAACTCTGTTGTTCTCTAAAAGGTGAGGAAATAAACAATTAATCCCCAGACAGCTCCTTCCTCCTCTAACCCTACTTTCAACAGCATTAGGGAATGAAGGGAGATCCAGGCCTGACAGAAGGGATAAGGAAGCCTCTGGGTGAGCAGCAGGGCTCAGAAAATTCCAGAACCAGCCTACTCCCCAGGCCCTTACTGTCTTCTTACTCTCCCCTTCTCCAGGTTGAAAATAGCAACACCTCTCAGCCTAGTTATCTGCTGTGCAATTTCAGGCCTGTTTGAAGCTTCTCTGTGCCCATAACTGTTTCTCTGGCACCTGGATATCAGGCTTCAAGAGGAAGTGAAGGAAGGGGCGCTGGGGATTTAGCTCAGTGGTTCCGCTGCCTGCCTCGAAAGCACAAGGACTCGAGTTCGATCCCGGTACCAAAAAAAAAAAAAAAAGAGGAAGTGAAGGAGATAAGGATTTGACTCCAGCCCCCTCCCCCACCATAACCCTGCTAAAGTCCTGTTATCAGTGTCACACCCAAAGAGAGATGGAGGCTGATACCCAGAAGCAGGCAGAGTAGGTGTTCCCCTAACTAACCACTGAGACCAAGAGTCCTAAATTGTCCTAAGACCCTGAAGCCACCCCACCCCATCACAGTAGCTCTGGCTTACTCTCTCTCTGTCCAGGAAGAATGGAACCCAGGCTGTGTTAGCCTGGCCCAACTCAGGAACAACTGGCAGGGCTGTAGATATCCTTACCATTTGCCAACCTAGGTAGAGCTGGGGCTCTGATCTCCCCTCCTAAATGAGCCTGATATGGCTCCATGGAAACCAGGCAGGGCTGCAAACACCAAGAAGCAGGACCTAAGGAAACCAAGCAAGGGTGATCCCATAAAGCTGGCTGATGGGGATGTGGGGAAAAATAGGCAGCAGAGACAAAAGAAACTAGGCAGAAAGATGTAAGGAAACCAGGTGACAAGGCCCAGAAGGAGGTAGGTTCTGGGAGCTAGATAAAAACAGGCAGTGGAACTGAAGTTAGCTAGAAGGTGTGGAAAAATGAAGCCAGGCTTCAGGGATCAAATGAAACTAGGCAAGAGGCCCACAGGATGTGAGAAAAGAAAGATAGCAGGAGCTCATCCCCCTGACTAGAAGTCACCCCTGCACCCTGGGCCTCTCTCAGTAGCCCCCCTCCCACCCAAGAAGTGGTCCCCTCCCCCAGGCCGATGGACACAGCCAGAGCCCCCTCCCCTCTAAGAGGCCTGGTCCGACTGCAGCCAATGGGCCCCGGCCCCATCCCTGGGACCTCAGGAAGTCCCAGTCCCTCCCACCGGCTGCAAAGGCAGGGGGGCTGAGGGGAGAGAAAGAGAAGAGAAGAGAGACAGCTTGGCAGGGGGAGCGCGCCGAGCAGCCGCGGGGGGCGGGGGCCGAGAAAGGAGCGGGAAGCGCCGAGGCGGGCGGGCGGGCTGGCGCAGGCGGGGGCGTCTCAGAGGCGGCGGCCGCGGGGGTGACAAGACCTCCGGCCGCAGGGCCGTGTGGCCACTGACCTGGGTCCCCGCGCAGGCGCCCGGTCGGTGCCTCCAGCGCTCTGTGGGTCCGCCTGGCCGCCCGCGGGCATCGGCCCTCTGTGCTTGGGGTCGGGCAGCCCCAGACGGCCCAGGAGGCAAGAGCAGCCCCCCACCCCGAGAGTCCCCGCAGGCAGACGGACGGGCTGGAGAGGGGCCGGGCCCGGCCGGAGCCGACACGGACAGAGCCTCGAGCAGCAAGGCAGCCGGCGAGCGGGCCCGGGAGGAGGGGAGGAAGGAGCGCGCCGAGAGAGAGCCGAGAGCGAAAAGCGAGCGAGCGAGCTAGCGGAGGGAGCGAGTGAGGGACGGCATGCAGTGAGGTCATCCTTTGAATCTAATTGTCTGAGTCAGGAGGAGATGTGGCACTTGATGCAGGGGGAGGGGAGGAGAGGGGAAGGGACCCTCGGGCTCTCGGGCCCCTCCTCACACCCAGGGGTGGTAGACCCTTACCCCTCCCAAAATGAAGCTGCCTCCAGCCACCCCAGGAGACCACTGCCAGTCTCAGGGCTGAGCCCTGCTGTCGGGGTAGAACCAGGCAGTGAGAAGTGCAATACAGTCCCAGCTCTGGGTGACCTTCCTTGTCTCCTGCACTAGGTGAGGGACACCCCCACCCCCAAGGCCCAGGTCATCTCACATTTTTTACAGTATGGAAAACCACCAACTATTCACAGGTGATATTTCTGCCCTCGGAGGGGAAAGAGGAACTTCCTATAGCCTTCCAAGTTACTTTTGTGCACTTTAGGAAAATGCTCCCCCCAATTATTCCTCAAGTTACTTCCTGCACTGAAAATTTGATGGAATCTGGAAATTGAACCTCAGCTCATAGTCTTACCCTCCAGAATAATAGTGCAAATGCCAACCACTGGGTAGAGATGAGGACCTCCACCTAACTTCTAGTCTCCCTATTCTGCTTGCCCAAGCTCCCATTCAGGAGGGAAAGGAGAAGGGCCAAACCCCTAGGGTCCCCAGGAGCTATCCAACGGACCAGGCTGCCCAGATGACAGAGGGGGAAAGTCAACAGCTGGGCCTTGGGGCCTACTGGGCATGTTGGGCATGCACATCCATACACGCACACACACACACACACACACACACACACACACACGGGGCTGGGGGCCCCAGGCAGCTGGGGATGCTCACACCAAGGGCCACATTCCTCTTCCCTTGCCCTCATGGGGGAGGGGTGATAAATATTTAAGGGGCTTTTAGCTCAGAAGGGGCTGAAGCTAGGGAAGGGAGGGGGATCCTCATTGCCTGATTAATGGGGTTACAGGCTTGGATCAATTCGTCCGCCCTGCCGTTCCCTCCTCCTCCCTCCTCTTCTCTCCCTCCGCCTAATGCGCTTTATCAGGAGACGCTTTTCTGACTTGGCAGCGTCGGGCGTTTTAAATAGACCCATTTAGAGCAGGGGTTGGGGGAGAAGAAGGGGGGTTGGAGGGAGACAGAGATTGAGACAGGCTGGGAGACAGAGACAAATCAGGGGAGAGAGCCCCGGAAGAGAGAGACTGGAAGAGGAGAGACAGAAGATGCAGAGAACTGAGATGAGAGACTGAGAGTGAAACTCCCAGGGAGGCTGAGATGGAGAGAGGTGATGGGAGGCCAAAAGGAAGGTGGGGGACGGCGGAGCAGAAACCAACTCAAAAAGCAACAGAGAAAGAGAGAAAAGAGGCACCGGCAGCCTAGAGAAATCCAAAGAGAGGCTCTCTGCATGGGCTGAGTGCTAGCCTGGGAGACAGCAGATATCTTTTATTTCCAAAAACAGTTTTTCATCCACTTTGTTAAATTAAAAAGCTGTTTTAAAGTGATGCTGGATGTGCTGCTGGGGGAAGGTGGATAGAACTGTCGAATCTTCCCTCCTAGGCCTTCTCTTCAGCCCCCACAGAAGCTGCCTCAGCCTGGGCCCCTGGGATGACTCCAGCTTCCCTGCTCTTTTCGATCCTGAGATCCCCAGGGACAGGGTCATGGCATCTGAGCTACTGTTCACTGGCAGGAAGTTCTTCCTGCTGTCTGGCTTTAGTCCTTCTTGCTGTGAGGAACTCATTCTCTCTGCTGAGCACTAGCCTTGTCTTCCCAGCCCCTGTCCTGGCTCCCTAAGGTGTTCCCAATGTGGGGGAGGATCATATATGCTCAAAGCTCAGTAGCCCACTTTCCCAGTAGACATTCAGACTCTTCCCAGGTGTGCTGCCATAAATATCATCTATCAGTCTATAAACCCATTGCCTGACCCCATTCTACTATGAACTTCTATCACATATATTACCCCATGTCCTTAGGTCTTTGGGGAGAGTGGGGCGGGAAACTTAACTTCTTATATCTCTACAGCCATCCCTTCCTCCTTCCTCTCCTGGGCCCTGGATCCATTTAAACTCCTTTTAAGGCCATGTGTTCCTGCGGTATCCCACTCCATCCTCAATACCCTACCCCTAGTTTTGAAGAGTTAGCACACACTTACCCCCACACCTGCTGCCCCAGGCCAGGAAAATGGCCAGTCTGTTTGGGAGCTGAGATGAAAAGCCCAGCCGGCCTTTGTGGGGCTCTGGCGGGTTTTGGACAATAGGCCCTTCCGTTCCGCTCCAGTGCCTTGATTCCTTGGATGCCCTCACCCCCGGGCTGCCAATCCAGGGGCCTTGCCTGGTCTGAATGAAGCAGGGAGAGTCAGACTCAGCCCCACCACTGGCCCCAGAAGATTCTGGACCTTCCGACCTGCCATTCCATTTCCAGGCCCAGCTGCTCCCCTAATCAAGCCAGAGTGATGTTTTGGGGTCAGAGAGGAAACCAGAAGACACTGAAACAGAAACATATTCCCATATCTGGGATTCAGCCCCCTAATGTAGAAACCAGTTTCCTGGCTTGATTTTGCCCTTGCTTTTGTGACCATGGGTAAATCTCTTCCCTTCTCTATCATAGGGCATGAAAAGTCCCAAGCCAGGCAGATCCCACATGGCAGGAGGTAGAAGGACAAGGAAGTTGAATGAAAGGATCTCAGGTACTTTACTCGTATCTCCCACACCTACAGCCCAAATACACCTGCTTGATGCCCTGAGATTGACCCTCTCCACGAGGGCCCCAGCACCTACCTCTTCACTACCAGCTGCACTCCAAGCACATCAATGTCCTCCTCCTCCTCCAGACCAGATTCTTCCCTGGACTTCCAAAACCAAGGGGGCGGGATGATGTGACAAGGCTGGATTCTAGAACGGCAAAGGGCACAAATCAGAGGTCACAGAAGAGCCACAGATCTTAGTCCAAGTCAGAGCTCATTCAATACTCACAACTCCTCACAAGGACCACAGTGGATGAACATTTAGAAGAGGAAAAGTTAGAATAGTACAGACTCCTCCAGCACCCCTTGTTGAATTTAGTTCTGAACCACAAGGACAAAGGAAGGCCAGAGATAGTGACCTGACACCACTCCCAGATCCTTACCCACAGATGATTCAAAATTGCCACACAGTCTGTAGCTATGGGCACCACCTCCATATCACACACATGCATGCATACACTCAGAGACCCAGGGTCACAAGCATGGAATCAGCCCTCACTATCATAACATCCTCTTCCTTGTTATCACTATGACCTTTGAGCATGTGATGTGCCAGCATCTGTTAGGTACCTCTTACGCATTATCTCATTTATTCCTCCTGACTTCTCCACAAGGCAAGTTCTATTATTCTTCCTATTTGACAGCTAAGAAAACTGAGACTCACAGGGGTTAAATATCTTGCCCAAGACCATAGAGTGGAAGAGTTCTAGAGCCTAAATTTGTGTCCATATCTAGCTCCAAAGCCTTTCTGCTTTACCAATTTGCTTCTGTAGCTCTTACTCATTAGCACTGTGCCTTTCCCAATAATAACAGCTAGCTTGCTTACTTGCTCTGTCTCTTTTCTTTTCTTTCTTGCAGTGCTGGGAACCAAACCCAGGTCCTCACACATACTAGGGAAGTACCCATTCACTGAGCTACATCCTAATAGCTAGGAGTTGTTCATGTCCTTGGTTAGCCAGACACTATGAAAAGTCCTTAACTTACACTTTTGTTCCGAATCATCAAACCAGCCTTCAGAGATAATCCTGTTTGCATTTTATAGATGAGAAACTGAGACTCACAGAGCAAAAGGAGCTTGCCCAAAGTCACACAACTGGTAGCTGGTAAGGAAGCTGGTGCTGAACAGTCCAGTCACTTAACATAACCCTCAGCTTTTACAGGATCCCAGGAGATCCTCAGGATCCAATTGCCTGCCCCCAACAGGTCCTAGATATACCTGTCAAAGGTACAATTAGGTTCTTAAACACATACTCATGAGAAAAGAATTTTTTGTCATCTAAACCTGCTCAGAGAGGCAGAGACACCAAGAGAGAGAGCCGGAAAACTAAAACAAGGTATTACAGACAGCCTGGCTGACGGTGACAGATACAGACACACCAAGACAAGGGCCTCAAAACAGGGAGACTTAAGAGGGTAAGACACAGACAGAGACATATATGAAGCCAAAGAATGAGAGGTGTTAGAAAAGGAGACAATAGAGGCAGAGGAGGCCACAGGCAGACATGAAAATACATGCAGATACACACTGATATGCACAGGCACAGAGACACTCATAGACCCATCTGACCTTCACAAGAAAAAATCGTGAAAGCAAGCAAGGCTCAGGCTGTGTGTGTGTGTGTGTGTGTGTGTGTGTGTGTGTGTTGGGGGGAAGCATGCAGTCTGTATCACTACGCACATTACACCAGCTGCTTCCAGCAATTTCATCTGATTAATAATAAATGCCCCATAATTACAGTTGCTCCCCCAGCCCTTTTTCTTGTTTTTTGTCAGCTGCCGCCAGGCCAGCCCCCCATGGACCCATAACCCACTCCATCCTCACCTGCTGCCTTCTAGGAGGCTGAGAGAATGTAAACTGACAGAAGAGCCCAGACTTCCAGTCTGATGGGGGATACCCATCTCTGTGCTATTTTTGATTAATACCCTTTGGCTTTAGGCAAAGTCATCTCACTTAGAACTCTTTCCACCTACCTTTGTATAACCTGTGACCCTTAACATGGCCTAGAGGGCAGGATCTGGGATGTAGGGAGATGAACTCCCATTGCCCACTCTTCACCCTCACTAGCTGAAAGAAGTCTCCATCTACAAACCACCTAGCCTTAGAACTCCACAGGCTGCAAGGAGGAAGGGACTAAGACAGGGGGCCCCACACTATCACTCCAACCCCCAACAGCCCAGCCTCTGCCCAGTGATGTACCCTCTTCCTTTGGACACAGGGTGGCTCCACCTCCCCATTCCTGAGCCCCGCCCCAGGTCCACCTCCTTCCTGGCCTCCCACCCTAGAGCGCCAAGGCAGCTCTATCAGAATCAGCTGCGAGTTTGTGCTGATCTGTTTCTAATCGCTGGGGCCTGGTTCACGCTTGCCCCCCCCCCAATATTGATTCCATTATTTGGAGAGTCATTGACGTCAGGGGGCTGGATGGGTGCCAAACCCGCCTTTTCTCCAAGCCTGGGACAGGGCCCAGCAACCCCATCCTGCAATTTCACGGAGGGGCCTAGAAAGGTCAGCTTATGGGCCAAGGTCACATGGCATCTGTCCCCTGACACTGGGCTCCTCTTGCCTTTTTTGGGACCACCATGCAGTCCCTTCTGGGGAGAGGGACTACACAAAGGCATGGGAACCAGAAGTAAGGTGAAGGTCTATAAAAGAGTGACTGAAGAGCCACATTGGGACTCTGGCTGCAAGAAAGGTCTCAGATGAGGTAGGGATGGGGCAGTGGCCCAGAAAAGGGCACTTGGGAAGATTTTGTTCTCTTTGCCAAATATTTATTTGGAACATCCTGAAGCTGGACTTGAAAGGGTTCCTACTGACTACTTGATTTTTATGTCTGCTATGAGATGTATCTGCAGACTCTCTAAGAAGGAAATTCTCTACAGTGAAGGATAACCAATTACCCTGAATGTTTACCATAATTTGACCAAATGGCACCATAAATTTTATAAATCTTTGCTCCATCTATAACAAAGCTCTGTCTGTGCATCTCCTATTCATATTTACCTCAGTTTCCCCACCCTCAAACATTCTCCCAGGCTCTTCTGGCTCTGCATAAGCGTGAGTCTCTCCCTCTCTGTCTCTCTGTTTGACCAAGTTACAGCCACTGCTACACCAGCACACACCGGCAACTCTTGGGCTCTGACAGAATGGAGTAATTTCAGGATCCAAACACTGCGTTCTCAGACAAACATTAATAACCAATATCCACAGTCCATGCTGCCTGCAGCAGCTACACAGCCTGTGATCCCAACCTTAGTGAATCAGAGATGGAGTCCATTCCGTCAGCTAGAATCGAAGAATCCCAGACCTAGAGAGTAGCGAACAGGCTCACAACCACAGGGGAATAAAAGACTTTCCCATGTTCTGAAAAATCCTGAAGCTGGGGAGAGGGCAGAGTGATCATCAACCTCTGCCACAAAATCAGGCTTACTGCCCTACCTCAGTTTCCCTCATTCTGACCTTTCCAAGGATTAAGGCACTTTTCCTCTACACTCCTCTTAGTAAAGGGAAGTTCTTCCTTTAGTCTAGCCTAAAAATCACTCAGGGTTCCTTTGAGCCAAGCAGGGTGTTCAACAGAGGCTGTGGGTCTTAAAGCACAAACGCCAGAAGGTCTGTTCTACCCCTGTTCATCTTCAACATTTATTGAGCACCTATTTCCTGCCAAGCACTGTGCAAAGACCCCTGTGTCTAATAGGAGAGAAAAAAAACCCGCATTGTGCATCAACACTACCTTCCTATTGTGTACCAGGTCTGTGCCAGGGACATGATTCAGGAAAGCAGACCCTATAATTAGGTCCCAGTCAAGCTTAAAGGCAACTACTATGCCACCCTATTGAGTGTTATATGGGGAAGGAATAGATAGGGTATGGTGGGGCACACTGACTGCCCTGGGTCTGCCAAAATCTGTCCTCCTGAAGGACTGAGAACTCTTCAGTCTACTCCTAACTGCAGCTGGGACTCTCATGCTGGCCACAAGTCACCGCCATAGTCTAATTTCAGTTCCTCTTACTGTAGTGCTAGTCCCAGCTCTAAGGTTGACTCTTCTCCCACATCTGCTCTAGCTCCTCCTTCTACTCCTTTGTCCTCAAAGCTCCTGGCTTTGGTGACACCCCCACACCAAGCACAGCTCTGTGCTTTAGGGACTCCTTTGCCCTTTGCAGAGGTAAAGAGGGATGATGACTACAGGCTCTCCACCCACAGGGACCACTTGCCTCTCCAGCCCCTCCCCACAGGAAGCCAAGTCCGTGTGGGTGTGGTCACCCAGGGCCACAACAGTTTACACAGCTGAGTTCTCCCCCACACCCCCTCCCCATGGTGGGTCTGGAGGAGGGGTCAGCTCTCCTCAGCCTCCTTACTCTCAGGGACCACCCCCCCAACCAGGCACACATGGTCCCCCCCAACCCATCTGCATTTCAAAGAAAATCCACTCCATATGTTTCTGATTCATTTACACTTCAACTCACCATGGGGGGGGGCAGAGAGCAGGGCGCCTTGCCTCCAAGCCCCTCACCCCCATAGGGGGCTGGAGAGCATGTGTCCCCTTCAGGGCCAGGGAGCAGTTAAAGCCCAGCCATCTCAGCCTGGGGGGAGATGCATGCTGGCCAGGTCCCAACTGAGTGAGGTCCCATGGGGGAATAGTTGCCTCAGGTAGCCCCATGGACTGGTTTCCATAGAAGGGGCATGTAAAGTCCGGGGCTGCCTCTCTAAGGCAGGTGGAATGCCAGGGCTGGCTGCAGCCTAGGCACCCCAGGGTTCCTGCAGAGTAGAGTAGGGATTCCTGGGCAAGCCCTAGAGCAAGGACAGGGCTCAAAAGGCATAAACACTGGCCATGGTAGAGGAGGGAAGGTGAAGTCTAGCCCAGTTTCCTCCTCCAGATCTCACTACAGATTTGGGGCTACCATTTCTCAGAATTACAAATTCAGCACCCTGGAAGTCCCTGGAACCAGAAGTTTACTCACCAGGCCAGTCTTACCCTTCCCATCCTAAGAATGACTGGGATGAAATGGGAGGGTGTCTTGGGAGGACATCTTATTTCCCCACATCTGGCCCTTTCAGAAGAGATGTCCAGAATGATTTAAGGAGGATGTGTATGGCACATGGAGGCCTCAAAGGGTTCATGTCACTTCTGTACCATCAAGTCACTCAGACTTCCCTGCCAAGAGCCTAGTTCCATGTGGAACACAAGGCAGGGAAGTTTAACTGTATCTTTCCCACTCCTCCTTCCCCAGCCCACAGTCCAAGTGAGGGATGTAAGCAAATATGTATCCCATCTTCTCCCCATCTTTTGGAGAGATGAGGTCTTGTAGTAGTATCTGTTCCAAATTTTAAGTGCCCTTATACATACTACAAACCAAAGGAACGCACAGGTACCTGTGACTGAGTCCTAAATTCCACTGGGATTGTGAACATCACAATTTTAATTTAGGTCTGAATGTGAGCCCTGGAAGTGTGAGTTTAACGTAAGTGCCAGAGTCTAATGTCAGTCTGAGTGTGAACTTCAAGATGGAAGTATGGGTCTGAGTATGACTCTAGATCCCAGGGAACATCTTTTATAAGCCCCAGTGAATTGGAATGCAAGAAAGCTCCAGCACTGAAGTGAAAGTTTGGAGGCCTAAAGAAGTCAGTGAGCTCTAGCATAAGTAAGTGTCTGAGTGTGAGTCCTTGGTTTTAATGGCATTTTGAGTATGAGCTAAGGGTCCCATATGAGTCCACATGTGAACACTGGACTCTTTTTAAAGTCTGAGTGTGAGCCCCACAGTACCTATATAAGTATAAATGTGAACATCAGGATCTTAGTGCAAATCTAAGTGATCCCAAGATAGAAGTAAGAATCTTGAGTGTGAGCTCCAAGATCCTAAGATGAATCTGAATGTAAGGAAGTCACCCAGATCTGGGTGTGAGTCTAAATGTGAGCTCCAGGTTACTTGTGTGAATCTGACCAGACTCCCCACTTGAATCCTAGCATTAATCTGAGTAAGCACTAGGGTCCTTGCTGAGTCTGAGTGTGAGTCCAGTGTGGATGTGTAAGTCTGAATGTGAAATGGAAGTGAGATTGACTAGGAACTGCAATGTCTAAGAGTCCTTGAGTTCAAATGTGAGCCTGAGTGTGAGCCCCTCATCTTAGTGTGACTCTTGAGTCCCCGAATGTAAATGTGAATCTGAGGAAAGTCCTGAGTCTTAGTATGAATCCAAGTGTGAGACCTAGAATCCAATCAGCTTCTAAGTGTGAGTTTTAGGTCTCAGTGCAAACCTATGTGCTACAGATTGGAAATGTCTAAGTGTGTGTCTATAGTCCCACTGTGCATTCAAGTTCGAGCAGAGTCCCAGTATGAGTGTAAACCCCAGACTTGAAATGTATACCTGGATGAGCCCCAGAATACAAGTGTGAATCCAAATGTGAGCCCTGGTGTAATTCTGCATGGTGTAATTCTGTCCTGGTGTAATTCTGCATGAGAGTAGGACTGTAAATCCTGAGACTTTAGAATGAGATATAAGCGTCCCAGTGTGAATCTGAGTATGAATTCCAGAGCCTCAGGAAGTCCTAAGTGTAAACTTTAAACTCCTAGTCTTTGTAGAGGCTCATGGTCCCAGTTGGACAATCAGCTCTGACAGTATGAACCTTTTGCTCCATCTTACCAATCCTGACCAGAGCTCCAAGAACCATCTGAGAGGGTTTGTGTGGGTTTTGAGAGTGCAGACAGGGACATAGTTTGAGACACACAGTTCCCTCCACCCCCCCAAGCACTAGCCAGCCCTGTATCCCTCAGACTATCCAACTGTTTAAGCACCATCCTCATACATGCAATAGCACACCATCACACCCCGGGTTAGACACACATACCCAGTGTTTCAGATCCTCTGGACACATGGCAATTACATATGCACAAAGACACCTAGCATTTCAGACTCTCACCACCACAGTGATTAAAGCCACACAAACACCCCTATGACACAGACACAAACATACCACAAAACAAAGGCAAAACAACTAGTGTTACAAACACACACCTAAAACGGCATGCAGACACACACTCAATGTTTCAGACAAGCTGCCAGCCACACAGACACACAGATGATTTTCAAAGAGAGAGACGAGACGGAAAGAGAAAGAAAATCCTGAATTTTCAACAAGGCGTGAAATAGTCCTGCCCGCCCCGAAGCTACTGGAGGGGGAAGGGGGCCCAGGGAGCAAGCAAGGAGCGAGTGATCAAGCTAGACGTTGAAGGAGAGGCTCGAGAGAGAGGAACCGAAGAGAGCTGTCCGTCTGGTGACCTCCCCGCGGCCCAGCCCCCCACGCACTGGGAGACACACTACTCTAAGCAACAGGGACACCCAGGCCGGCTCACACAGAGCCGCACTAGAGGAGGCACACATGGGCAGACTCACAGAGACACTTGGGGATACACCACAGGCGGACTCATACAAACCAGGGGACTTACAAGGAGACACACTGGAGGAGACCCACTGCGTAGAGATACATCCAGGCGAACTCATGAGAAAACCACAGGCAGGCTCACACCGACAGACACACACACACGAATATACACACACAAGCAGATTCACACGGACATACAAGCTTTGGCAGACGCGCAGCCGTCCGTTCACACCCCCGGGAGCTTTGAAGTCCAGATTTTTGCCCAAGAAAGAAGCCCCCTTTGGGTGCGCGGGGTCTACGGCGACCCCCCAAACCCTGGAATTTTCCCAGACCTGGCGCGTGCGGCTGAAGGCTAGGAAGAACAGGGACACTAGGACAAACCGCTCCAACCACCTCCCTCCAGCCGATTGTCCAGCCCTACTACTACCACGCCCAACCCCTGGCGCGCTCGGACGTGGGGGGCCGCTTCTGCGCCCCCGGCCCCGAGTTTGTGGGCAAAGTTTCTCATGAACTTTCCTGCCTCCCTCGGCCGCGGATCCACGCGTGTCCCCTCACTCTTCAGCGCGCACGAGGGCCGCGCGTCCGCGGGTCTGTCCGCTCGAGGGTTCGAGGGTCCAGCTTCGCGCAGAGAGCCGTGGGGTACTCACCGCGCCCTCGGGCCACAGGAGCACAGAGCCGCGCCCTTCGACCGCCCCCCGCAAGGAGAGAGGCAAAGAGCGCCGAGCTAGCGCCGCTGCCGAATCCCACCACCGAACCCCGCGCCGCGCCGGCTGGACCCGCCGCCTCCGCTGCCGCCGCCGCCCGCTCTGCACCGGCTCCTCGGCGCTCGGCGGCTTTAACCCCCCCCATCCTCCTCCCTCCCTCGCGCGCTCCCTCCCTCCTTCCCTCGCCATGTGACCGCGGGCGCCCGCTCGGCCGCGCGCGCCCTGGTTCCCCTCCCCCTCTCGCCTTGTCTCCCCTCGCCTCCGCGGCCGCGCGCCACGACCCCTCCCCGCCACGGCCCCTGCGCGCCCCCGCCTTGGCACACTCCCGCGCCTGGCACGCGCGGCCCCGGCGCAGGCCTGCGAGGCCCGCACTCCTACTGGCCCCGCGCAGGCACGCGCCCTCCCCCTCACCGCTGGCACACTTGCCCGCACTGGCACGCGTGGCCCCCTCACGTTCGCCCTTTCTCGGGCGCGCCCTCCAGGCGGCTGTGGCCCCCGTGTTTAACGCATAACCCGGGCCTCGGGGCTCACAAACGCGCACGCACCGAGAAACGCACACCCACTCCGCCCGCTTCCCCAGGCGGCTGGGCGCGCACCCACCACCCCCCAGAATCGCTCATTCACGCTCACTCTCTCTCCCAGCCTTGGCCAAGTCTCTCCTGCGCACACTCCCGCACGTTCAGGCCCCGAGTGCCGCGCGCCGACACACTGGCGCACCCCGGGCCAACTCTGGGGTCCTCCTTCCAGCATCACCGTGAGAGGAGCGCGAGGCAGAGTCCCCAACCCCCACTTTGGGTAGAGGCAGCCTACCGGCTGGCTCCTCCTCAATTCCTACTGCCCCCAGCAACGACCCCCCTTCTAATCACACGCAGACGAACCCTTGCGCAAAGGGGAAGCTAGCTGTACGCTTCCATGACCCGGGGTGGACCAGGGTGGGAGCCCAGGCCCTGGTCTCCTGTCATAGATCCCAGTGACACCACCACTACTACCTTTTTCTTCTTCTGTCACTGATTACCCCCGGCCGCGAGAAGCCCGATGGATAAAGGGGGCAGGGGGCTGTGCCCTTAACCTCTGGCGGGGCAGTTCCGGAGTTCCAGGCACAGCCTGCCGGGAGCTTGGCGCCAGAGGTTCATTCGCCCCTCGCAGCCTGGGCCTCTGAGGGGCCAGTGTGCTCACTTCACTCGCCCCCGGGCCTCTGGTCCGCCCACAACATGGAAGATTAAGTTAGACACCCCGATCAACTTCTGAGGCCACGCGAGAGCGCAACGGAGGGTGGAATGCCAGAGGCAGAGAACCAGAGGTTCAGCCCACCCCACACACCCCTTAAATTTTTCCCTTGGCCTTTCACCCAAAATATCTGGGCCTCATCCTCCAGGGAACTGCTCCAAGGCCTAGGGCGCGGGGAGGGAAAAATCTTGCTGTTTCCTCACACCCATCGCCAGCAGGTTGCCTATAGGCCCTTTCCCAACTAATGCCTCAGGGACTTCCAGTGCAGAGGAAAAACCTTCCCCTCACTGCCAGGGCTTTTCACTTTAACTTCCATAGCCGCAGAATCCCTCCAAACAACCGTCGAGGGTCACCCAGGTATAAAGCTCAGAGACGGCGGGACACACAGCAAAATAGCCCAGCTGAGGTCCAGCTCACACCCACCCACTGTACACGTCCTCTATCCCGCCCCTCTGGTCCCAGCAGCACCAGGTCCCCAGGCCGTGGAATGGGATGAGATCGTGAGCTCCAGGGAGGAGCGACCCCAGCGCGATGACACCTACGGGAGAAGGGACAGTAATCGCCCCCACTCCCTGCTGAAGCTGGGCCTGGGCGAGGTTAAGTGTCTTGGAGGGGGCTGATGGGCTTCGGGGCTCACACCGGGCTGGTGAGAGACCGACCGGGGTTAAGATTCGCGGCTCATTCGTGGACCAACTGACTTCTGGATCGCGCTGCCTGTTTCTGCAGGCTAGAAGCCTTCGGGAATTCTGCCCCGGGCCTAGGTCCCCTTCGACACCGGGGTGGCAGAGGCTGCGATCGTCAGTGCCGCAGTCCCTGGGTGCAAGGCAGAGTCTCCACCGGGCATCCAGAGTCGGGGAACCCGACGTGTCGATGCGGGGGCCGGATAGGAGAAGAGGAAAGGCGCACGTCGGACCCTGTCCCAGGGTCTGTCGGTCAACTGCTGCTCCTGGCGCGGGACCCAGCGGCCTTGCGCACTTCCCCAGGGCCGCAGCGACACCTGGCGGATAGTGCGAAACGTGCATTTCCCCTCACGCTGCGGCTCCCCGCTCTGCGCTGAGGCCTCGGTAACTTACCCCGTAACCAGGATGCTGCCCCCTCTCCAAGCAGCGGTCACCTGGCTCAGAAACGATTTTCCTCCTACCGGAGCTGGGAGGAAACGAAGGACTACTCTTAGGTTTCCACTCCTGCCACCTTCAGTGTCCTGTTTGCGTGCTAGCCGCTGAGCTTCCCAAGCCTCCGTGTTGAATCTTCCCGGGTCTCCTCACCGCCTTGGGGGTAAAACGAGGCTTCCTAGGCGGGACTTCAAAACCCTGCAGGATCCTGCCGCATCTCCACTCCAGCTTTCTTCGACACTCTTATCCTTGGCCTTCTTAGATCTGCACCAACCCCCTTCAGTGTTATAGCGCTCCTGTCCTTAAGCCAAACCCCACTTAACACTCTCTTACCAATTCCATCTCAGTACATTGACTGCCTCCACCATCTTCACCATCTGCCTCGCTCAGGGTCTGGCAGGAAGCCACGCCCCCAGGTTAGAGCCCTTATACCCTGCAAATAATGGGGATCCCAGATGCAGTAAGCTTCTAAGAGGTCTGCAGAAACTGGTAAAGTTCTCTTTGACTTTGGGTTCCGGGAGTTTTATAGCCACCACGTAAAGGAGCTCTGTGGCTGGGAACTTCTGACTTCACTTTCTACCCTGGCAATGACCTAAACTTTGACCACACACCACCTCCAGCAGTCAACTGTGCCATCTCAAGCCTTTGGGCAGCAAAGACCCCTCCTACTGATCTGCCTACATGGAAGGAGGGTCCACATGTCAATTCTGTGATTAGCTCCCTTTTCCAGGAAATGGAACCCATTTCTACTGTGCTATACCATCAGAAAGTTCCACCACGGAGCACATCCTTGGATACCCAAAGTTACACGCTAACACACAGGCTTTCTGTCTTAGAAGTGCCCAACACACGGTGTAATATAAAGTCACACGCTCAGCTTCAAGAGTAAGCCGTGTATGTTCAACTTCACTCTGGCACGCTGGGAGTCAGAGTCCCGGTTTGAGCTAGAACCTAAAAGGTGAGATGAGCCCCAGAATCACACACACAGTTACACACACAGCCATGTTCACTGTGTGTCACACAGGCACACACGATCTCAATCACACTGGGGTTTGGCGGGTCGGGGCGGGCTCCGGGAGGCAGTTACGTAAACGCCCTCACAGCGCCCCCCCCCCCCCCCCCGCTTCCTCGTGCAGTGCCAGCGCCCGGGGCGGCTTGGCCGGGGCCCGGGAACAGCTCGGCCTCGCGGAGGCTCCAGGCGCCGAGAAACCCGATCCCGACACAGCCCAGGGCCGAGCCAGGGAGGGGGCCCAGACCCCCCCCCCCAGGGTCCAGCCCAGCTCCCCAGGGACGACTTGCTCCCTCCATCCTGAGACAGCTCCCAGCACCATCCTGGGGCAGCACCTGGGGTCCACACAGAACACCCCCATTCTGCAGACTTCCCTCTGGAATCTCATCGGCTGGACACTACCTCTATGTGCCCTGACCTTTCCAACCTCTGGCACCAGAAAAGGGCTAGGAATCCCTAAAGGTAGAGAATGGGGGAGGGCTGAAGCCCTAATGGAGAAAGCTAGCTACAATATTTAAACTGAAATTGCCCCCAGTTCCCTGGAGTGGTCTCTTCTCTTTTTCACAAGGGCCTTCTAAATCCACTCTGATGGAGGAGCTCACACTACTGGTCCTGGGCCCCCTCCGATTTCTGCCCACCTGCCTACCAATTCCAGCATATTCTATCAGAATTCTAAATTATTCAGATAGGCCTAACGCCTACCCTCCCTCTCTCTGATAGCCTTTCTTCCTTCTCAGTGGGAAGTTCTAACTCCAGTCTAATCCCAGTTCCTCCTGTTTTGCTAAGAAGGAATTCTGAGGGCAACCTGAGGCATTGGGAACCAAATCCCTGGAAGGAGGAAGGATTATGGCTCAGGAAACCCTTGGAAGTCAGGAATCTAGGAGGGGAAAGAAGGTCTCTTGTCACCCTCCTTCAATATAACCCTCACCGCAGTCATTTTTCACAATAGCTTTTGAGTGTCCACTTGGGCTGCCCAGACCCAACAGAAAGGGAATTTTCCCTATGTTCTCTGTTAATAAACAAAACATTTCATGTTGAAATTCCTCCTCTGCCCATAGTCTGGTACCTCTAGCCCCCCTCCCCCACCATCAGTCTGAGCAAGCATGAGGACCCCTAGGAGGGAGTATCAGAGTAGGGAAAAGCCCTTAGGGGAAGCATATTTTACATTGGGGACTCTCTTTTTTAATAAATAGAGTGGCTTACCCCCACTTCGGCTAAAATTACCCAGTCCTGTGGCAGTCTCCCAGAAAGGGCGGCGGGAGGGCGGCCGGAGCTGTCCCAAGGCCCAGGACATGGCCTCCCTCCCCTGGGCGAGGAGCCTTTCCCGAGTTGTTTTCCTGGTCTCTTCCTCTTGGATGTCTTTTTGATTATTAATCACATTTTCCATCTGCAGCTCAGTCCAGACCCCCTCCTCCTGGGGTCAGGGCTGGACAGAGGGAGGAGGAGCGGGCTCCAGGAAGATGAGTTGGGGACAAAATGGGCAGTGACCTTTGGCCCTGGCTGACTTGAAAGAGGCTGTCTGTGGCACATCACAGATCACACCCTCACCATCTTGGCACATAGTAGGCACCATTCTTAAGTAATACAAGTGGAGCAAATGAGTGAACAGGTGTCTAGCTTTCACAGTGCCCAGCTGGCACTGGAAGGCAAAGCCCTTGGTGCTGGTCCTCTTGTGCTACATACAGGCAAATGTCACAGAGAAGTCACTCCTCAGAGTCACTCAGCAAGTTATTGCCAGAGCCAAAGCAGTACCTCAGGAATGTTGAT